TAATTTTGTACGTGCTGCTAAAGATGTGCGAGGCCTCGCATTGTCGCTGTAGAACACGATTCCTTTGCAATTTGCCAATTCTGGCCCTTTCACTTTGATTGCTTGCTCTCATTTCATAAGTTGTTGCCAGTAAATATCTGAGTTGATTGTTTGGTTGCTTGGAAGCAGCTCAAAATACGCAACACCTTTATAGTCCAACCAAATTGACAGCATGATCCTTTTCTGATGCGATTCAGCTTTCGATTTGGTTTGCGCTGGTTCATCGCGCTTGGACCATCACCTTTTTCGATTAATATTACTGTAAACGATCCATTTTTCATCATCAGGGATAATTCGTTTCGAAAAAGGGTCGATCGCATTACGTTTAAAATGCGTATCGCAAATATCGATTCTTCGTGTTAAGTGAATTACTTTCGATTCACGCGGAATCCAAACATCGACCTTCTTACAAGTCCAAGACATCTTGTGTGATATTCAACTGTTGTGTGCGATGCCTTTAACCTTTTTGCAATCTCTCGTACAGTGTCAACTACCAAAGCTGAAGACAAAAATATTATAACCTCAACGAAAGAATGACAATGCAAATATAACTCTACCTATTGGTGCAAACCGAAATTACTTTGATACTAATCCGATAGCCATAAATGAATTCTTGCTTTTATGATAATGAAAAAAGTAAAATGTGTTGGAAATGTTCATTTTTGCACTCCGTGTTAAAATTGACAGCAAACTATCAGTTGTAAACAAAACTGCACGAAATTTGTTTCTATAGTAATCTAAACGTGTCAACTACCAAAGCTAAAGACGACAAAATTATAACCTTAACGAAAGAACGACAATGCAAACATAACGCTACCTATTGGTGCAAACCGAAATTACTTTCTTGCTAATCCAACAGATGCGTTAAAATCGTTCTATTTGTCCCATATCCGAAAAAGATTGATTCAAGACATCTTGTTCTACCAAAAAAGTAAATAATTCCATTCGTTCAACAAAATTCACTTCATATTCCCGCGCAACGATCTTTTCCTACGTGACTTCTCCAGATTTGGGATTAAAACGAAATCCTCTAATTAAATACTGGATACGATCTGTTACGAACGAATCATACCTTGATCATCGTTAATTTCTCGTTTCCGATCGATTCACATCCCTTCACACTGGCAACCACGCTTCGAATGCGATCATCGAAGCAAAATCGTTCGAGTTTCGAGAACATCGTCGAAATCGTCGACGGCAATAGGTCGGCCGAGATTCGATTTCCGGGAAAGAAACTAAATGGCGTTCCTCGAACAGCGTACCTTTTACCAGAGGATTTGGCGAGCCACGTGGCAACGCCGCCTCTGGCAAGCGTGAGCCAATTATAATCCAGGAAGAAGAGGATTTTAATCGCCATAGAGTCAAGGTGGATGCGGTGGCATTTCAGAACGAATTAACGAGGACCATTGCGTGTTTCGCGATACAGGAGCGCGCTTTCTTTGGCAGCCCGACATTCCGAGAGAGAGAGAGAGAGAGAGAGAGAGACGCGGCTCTAATAATATAATCGCCCGATTAAAAAAACATCGATGCACGCTTCATGGAAACGAGCACGCTTTTCGGAACACACGACGCGGAACGCGACAGCCTCCGACGTTCTAGAAGTTCCAGCGAGACTTAACCTCTGCTAATTGTGCGCTTCCTGGATGGCAACTGCTTCGAATAATGCGACCGCCGTCGTTGAACCCGTTTCGTTCCAACGAAACGAAGCTCGTCGGCTCGACATCGCGATTCAAGCTTCGAGCGAAGCGTTTCGCGAACGATCGTGCCGGCTGCGAATTAGCCACCCGTGTCCGGGTCCATCGGCGTCGTCTCTCTAAGAAGTACACGACTTCGGACGCCTCCGTGCTTTCGGAAGAGAGCGTCGACCAGTCCGGTGCTTCCCCGAAAGGAAACTCGTTCGCAGGTACCGAAACTACAATACGCGATAAATATCGATCTGGTCACTTTTACCCAACGGGGAACACTCTCGTTTGCGAGCTTCTCATCTTTCGATGGCCATTAAGCAACGAGCGGCGGTCCGCGCGCTCGCGTGCGCGCGCGCGCGCGCTCCACCGCGAAGGTGGTGGTGAGCTATGTACCAGTGCGGGGAGACTCACCTTCACCTAGACCTTTCTTTCGCCGTGTGAGAGGGGATCTGTATATAAAAGGTCTCTTCTGGGTAGCAATGGCATCAGAAACCACAATTTCGCTTGCACACACGGTTGTCGCTTGACCACGAGAAATAGCGAGCGGCCATAGCCACGCACCGAGCCAACATGCGGTCATCGGTAAGTGTCTTATCTTAAAGATCGACTTTCGACTCTTTCCAACGGGACTCTCTGTCCTCCCGACCGGCCAACAATATTTTCCGTAACTGGCAAACCGCCGTGCTCTATATACGTTCGCCTAACGCCGGATCGTTTGTTGCAGATATTCCTGGGACTGATGGTCCTCGCCGTTTCGGCGGTCACCTGCAGAGAAACCCGCGGCGAGAAACGGCAATTCCGAGTGCAGCTGAAGGGTAAACGAGGTGTCAACGACTATTCCGGCGGCTACTCGTCCAGCGGCGGCGGCGGCGGCGGAGGAGGAGGAGGATCGTCCTACAGCTCGCCGCTCATCAGCTCCGGATATTCCGGCGGAGGGTCCTTCGGAGGATATTCCTTGGGCCAGTCGGCAGGTATTCAGAGCTTGCAAGGACTTGGAGGCTCCCTGGGACACGGATACTCCTTGGGATCGTCCGGAGGACTTAGCCTGAGCTCCGGCCTCGGCCACGGCCTCCAGGGCTTGTCCTTGGGCGGACAGCACGGCCAGGCATCGTATTCCGCTCCCAGCTATTCCTCCGGCGGCGGCGGAGGCGGGGGCATCGCGATATTCACCCCGGCATCGAAGAACGGACCGGTCACCTTCGGAGCAGCGGCTGCAGGCGCGGGTGGTTCCGGTTATTCGACACCAGCCTACGCGACGGGAGTTCAAGGACTGTCGTCTTACAGCGGAGGCGGATCCTCCGGCGGAATCAGTCTCCAGTCGATGCTGGGTTCCCACGGGTCGTCCTACAGCCTGCCGGCGTCTCTGTCCTCCTCCCTGGGAGGCTCCTCGGGGCTGTCTTTGCAGTCGTACTCTCCCGGATCGTCGCATGCCGTCAGCGGAGGCTTGGTAGTAGACTCGAGCTCGCTCGGCAAAGGTTCCTCCGGGTCCAGCGGCGCGTCCAGCGGCGGTTACACCATCCCAGTATCATCAGGATCCCACGGCGCTTCGGCTAGCTACTCCCTGCCGACGTCTTCGGGGTCTTCAGGAGGCCATTTGAGCCTGGCCGGCAGCTCCGACGGAGCCAGTTATTCCCTGCCGTCGTCGTCCGGCTCGTCTTCTTACTCGTCCGGAGGCAGCTCTAGCTACTCCAGCCCCAGCGTCACCTACTCTGCTCCCAGCTCCAGTTACTCGAGCCCTTACAGCGGCGCCTCGAGCTACCCGAGCCAGACCGTCACCTACGCCACTGGCGGGTCTAGCGGCGGCTATTCCGGGCCCACGGTAACCTACTCCGGGTCCGCGTCCAGTTACTCCAATCCTATTTCCAGTTATTCCGGTTCCGGTTCCAGTTACCCCAGTCCTAGTTCCAGTTACTCCGGCTCGTCCGCCGGCTATTCCGCCGGCTATTCAGCCCCGAGCACGTCGTACAGCTCCTCGTCCGGCGAATCCCAGGGATCCTACTCGAGCCTGATCCCGAGATACGTCGGGTACTCGGCCGCGAAGAGCTACGACGGGCCGAGCTCTTCCGGCAACAAATACGACACAATCTCGTACTCGAGTCCTAGCGGGAAATATTGAATTCTGGACGACGTACGCGAGAGACATCGTTTGCTTGCTCCGCGACTCCTCAAAGGTACGACGATCCGGACACCGTGAATACCATACGAGCGCGTCGGACGCGCTCTCGAGCGGACCGATTTAGCGAGGATCGATTTAGCTGCGAACGGTCTCTCCATAGCCCGATGGACAGTGTACTCTAGGTTACAATGATGTTACTAGCCTAATTATTACGTATTTAAGAACATCGTTTCATATTTATATTTTCTGTTACACTCGCTTCGCAGTTCCGTTGCATATGCTCCCGTTAGCATCGACATTGTGATGTGTGTCACAACATAGCTTTATATTGTTTTTTTTTATACTGTAATAAAGTGATTCTTCTTTTTGTAACTCTCGCTGGTGATGATCACCCGTCAAACGCTCCTCGATCATCGACGCACACCTCTATCTATGACCGTCGTTGTCGCGCGCGCGCGCGCGCGCATATCAGCGCGCTTTCACTCGCCTGCGTTCGCGCCGTTAATTATCTAGGATCGACGGGATCGTGGTTAAAGATATGTATAAAGTGAAACAGAAACGCGAATAAATCGTTGTTCCTTTCGATCGAGCCGCGCGTCGCTGTGGAAAAAAGTACGTTCGATTTGTATTTTTTTTATTGGCTGTCGAACGAACGGACCAGTTTTAGGACAACGATTATATTAGCACAGCGTGGTTCGGAAGGACGCGATCATGGTCCGCGAACACGCGTGGACCGAAGCTCTGTCGACGGTGGTGCACGCTGTTCTTTTTTTCTTTCTTTTTCTTTTCTTTTTTCACTCGATTCGTTTTGCTGGAACGCCGGCCTCGGCGTCGTGAAAGTTATTGGCGCTGGGTAAAAGTAAACGGGAACGGTAGCCACGTGTAATAATAACGACGGGGCCGCAAGAAGCGGTCCCGGCCCGTAAAAAGAGGATCACTTTTACCCCAAGGCCAGCGTCGGCGAAACGGGCGGATTCCTTTCGAAAGTTTTTGTTCTTTTTGGGAAAGTATACGTCGCGCCGCTTCGCGGCTGCTCGTCCGCGGACCGGTTTCACATGATTCATAAGGGAACCGTTCCTTTTTTTTTTCTCTTTTCGTCGCTGCCCTTATTCCTACGACATTAACGGTATCCTGTTCGCTACCGGTATATTGTTACGATGTTGCCGGAGCAGGGTTTGTCAGATGACGTGAATTGATAGTTTCTCGTAAGTGCAGTAATTTCTCCGTAATTCGCGCGCGGATCGCGCACGAAAATGGACGATTTTGGGAAAGGAGATGCGATTATTCGAGCCTTGCAACTCGTTTTTATAATCGTTGAGGATCGGGGTGGAATTTCAATAAATAGATTGAATACAAAAATTAATCTATATAGCAAATAGTTTCTTATTTCTTCTCGTTTATTTATTTATTTTTATTCCTTCTTCCCTGCTTCTCTCTCAAATGCAGTAATTTCTCCCTAATTCGCGCTCGGATCGTGCACGAAAATGGACGATTTGGGGAAAGGAGATGCGATTATTCGAGCCTCGTAACTCGTTTTTATAATTGTTGAGAATCGGTGTAGAATTTCAACAAATAGTTTGAATACAAAAATTAATCTAGCAAATAGCTTTTTATTTACCATACTGGTACGACTCAGTTCGCGGCACGTTTTCATAGTTGCCCCGTTATAAAGTTCCGGTTTCCTTTATTTAGGAAATAAACAAGCCACGCGGTTATCCGAGAGAGAACAAGCCGCAATTCACGGGACACAGTTTATATCGAGCGGGCCGATCAATTATCGTCGCGGCAGTAAGTCGCGCGAAAAATATCTCCTCCCTGTCGACTACGAAGCAAGAAAGTCTGCTCTTGAATCGATGATATTTTATCCTAATCTCTCTCTCTCTCTCTTGGAACGTTGCGCGTCGATTCCGCGGCGTTAAGTCTTCGTTGTTTCCGAAGCGATTTGCGTGCAGGAATTTCTCCGTAATTCGCGCTCGGATCGCGCGCAAAAATGGACAAGTTGGGAAAGGGTTGTGTCGAGAAGAGATTGTTCGAAAGAGGATAATCTCTGGAAGAGATAGTTCGATCCTCGCGTCCCCTGTTTACAGTCGTTGACAATCGGTAACTATAAAAGCGAGCCGCGACAATTAAATTTATAACTTTAATTACGTTTTATTTTCAATTTATTTTATATTCAATTCACGAGTCAAATTTATTATTTATTCTTTACTTATTTAATTTAGTTATTATTCTTCGTGACCAAAAGCAGTTACAGACGCACTTTTCGCTCGAGATTTTCTCCGAAACAGAGCTTCCCCAGGTTTTCTGCCGTTTTCGACCGTCTCGGAGCACCGTGCGCCGCCGCGTCGGCACGTTTACACCGGCAGCTAATTGCGCGCGTTTCATTCGCTCTGGCAAACGGCTCCTTTGAATTATGGGCCTTCTTAGTGGCGTAATTTGTTGCATTCCTTTCTTTGTTAATGGCGGCCGGGGGCGGCGGGCTCGACGGGGCGGGATTAAAAGTTCCGGGGTTAAATTAGTTCCGAAACTCCTGTAATTTTACTGTCTTCGCGAGAAGGTAGTCGGGCACGGGCCGGGCACTCCGGGTCCGTGTTGATCTAGAACTCTCCGAGCGGAGGACGAGTATCGAAGTTTTCGAGTAACCGAAGACCTCCTCCGGGGCCACTGTGTGGACCCGGCGGAGCTCCGAGGCGCCGTTTACTCGTCGAGCTTTCCCGGTGACGCAAATATTTAAAACTTCGCATCGGCCGCCGGGACCGAAAAGATTCGGGCAACCGGCGGGGAAATTCGTATTATCCACTAACGCCGAAGCCCCGTAACTGGGTCAGGATTGTTTTAACACCGGGTTTACGGAACGCGTCACTTTTCGTTCCAAATCTTTCCATTTCTCGATCAGAGCTTGAATTTAGCCGTGAACTTTAATAAACGCAAGTTATTTGGTAAACCTTTTAAGTTCGGAATTATTTGTTTCTCTGTTTAAAATTAACTTTTACATTTACGCTTTAATTCTGCTATAGAAGTTCAATTTTTTAACAGTTATTTTGCATTTAATTGATAGAAATTCTAAGGGAACGTTTACTCCTTGACGGATATTTTAAAGTCAATTGTAAAAGTTTATGCTATAATTGAGACACGAAGATACTTTTACCGGGAATTTATTCAATTCTGTTTCTTTTTACTAAAAATCTGAATAAGCGCGAGCTCGTCATTTTAAGGAAACGATGTAAAACAATTGCTATCTGCGCCGCGTAAACCTGTTGTTAAATCGAAAACACGGATTCAAAACGGTGACCCGACAATTTGAAAACAACGAATGCGATCCGGGATCCTGCGATTAGAACGGCAAGTACAGTAATTTGTCCCTAATCCGCGCTCGGATCGCGCACAAAAATGGACAATTTGGGAAGAGGAGACGCGATTGTCCGAGCCTCGCGGCTCGCTTTTATATTTACCGATTGTCAACGACTATAAAAACGAGACGCGAGGTTCGAACGATCTCTTCCAGAGATTATCCTCTTTCGAACAATCTCTTCTCGACACAACCCTTTCCCAACTTGTCCATTTTTGCGCGCGATCCGAGCGCGAATTACGGAGAAATTCCTGCACGCAAATCGCTTCGGAAACAACGAAGACTTAACGCCGCGGAATCGACGCGCAACGTTCCAAGAGAGAGAGAGAGAGAGATTAGGATAAAATATCATCGATTCAAGAGCAGACTTTCTTGCTTCGTAGTCGACAGGGAGGAGATATTTTTCGCGCGACTTACTGCCGCGACGATAAATGATCGGCCCGTTCGATATAAACTGTGTCCCGTGAATCGCGGCTTGTTCTCTCTCGGATAACCGCGTGGCTTGTTTATTTCCCAAATAAAGGAAACCGCAACTTTATAACGGGACAACTATGAAAACGTGCCGCGAACTGAGTCGTATCAGTATGGTAAATGAAAAACTATTTGCTAGATTAATTTTTGTATTCAAACTATTTGTTGAAATTCTACACCGATTCTCAACAATTATAAAAACGAGTTACGAGGCTCGAATAATCGCATCTCCTTTCCCCAAATCGTCCATTTTCGTGCACGATCCGAGCGCGAATTAGGGAGAAATTACTGCATTTGAGAGAGAAGCAGGGAAGAAGGAATAAAAATAAATAAATAAACGAGAAGAAATAAGAAACTATTTGCTATATATAGATTAATTTATGTATTCAACCTATTTATTGAAATTCCACACCGATTCTCAACAATTATAAAAACCAGTTGCAAGGCTCGAATAATCGCATCTCCTTTCCCCAAATCGTCCATTTTTGTGCGCATTCCGAGCGCGAATTAGGGAGAAATTACTGCATTTGCGAGAAGCGGTAAAGAAGAAGCAATAAATAAAACCGCTTAGCTTGTTTATTTCCCAAATAAAGGAAAACGGGACGGGCACGATCAATTCGTCGCGCGGACGATTTACTGTATTATTTTCAGATGCTTTCACTGCGCGCCGCGACGCGACGCGAAAGATCCGTATCGTACGAAAGCATCGAAATATGTAATTAAAGTCATGGGACAGTTAGTTAGTTCTCGGGTTCGTTACGAACCTGGATTAAGTCCACCGGCCGAGATAAGGAATTTATTCTCGCGGATGCACGAGAGAATCTTCATTATCGCGGGGGGCGGGGGGTGGCGGGGGAAAAGTGCGAATACCTGTTCTCGCGGGGCACGCGTAACGAATCAAGGTACATACATACATACATACATACATACATACATACATACATACATACATACATACATACATACATACATCAATATATACATACATACATACATACATACATACATACATACATACTTTCCGGAGAAATCTTCGAAAATCGTTACGGCACGACGCCGGCCGGGGACGCGTCTGATACCTGTATCAGGAAGGAAAGGGTATCGGACGACACCCACACGCGAAGAAAGCGCACAGATGAGCCGGCTGCAGTATTCCGTGTGCCGTTCTCGTACCGGTCTGACCCACTTTTCAATCGCACGTGCGCATGCACGAGTAAACACGCGTGTTCGCCAACAGAGCGAGCGGGTCGTTTGTCGATGGTACAATAGCACCCGAGGAGGAGAGGCGGCCGTCTGTGTATACGTATATGTGCGGCCGTCTGTGTATATGTGCGACCGTCTGTGTATATGTGCCCGCGTGTGTGCACGCTTGTGTGCGCTCGCGCGCGCGCGTCCGTGTTTTACCACACAGGTTCGCCGTGACTCGTGAACGACCGCGCGGCGTTCGGCAGCCCGCGGAACCGGTGCATCGTCTTCGTCATAGAAAAGCCACGTTTCACTATTTCCCGACTGGTTCTCTGCGGTCGGGCGACATACTTGCGCTTCACTCTCACGCCCGTCCTGGCAGACGTGCCTCGAGCGAAAACAGGGAAAACTGTCCGCTCTTACTCTTTCCACGTTCCACGGAGCCGTTCTACCGAGCGACCATGATCGAGATCCACGGATCGGATACGTACGACGTGTCAAGAAATTAACGACACCTCGTCTACACGCGGACTCCCGTCTTTGGGTCGCCTCGGAAGTACCGAGGAGGGTGGGGAGGGGGAGGAGAGAAACGTTTCTTTCGCTGTACGTACGATCGATACGACGTTACTGGACGTTCAGACGAATCAGATCGAATCGGAAGATCGTTTTTCGGGGTCAACGTGTTATACAGGGTGTCGCGCATCTTTTGGAAAGAGTATTACACTTACATGCACTTACATACATTTCGGAAGAGTATTTTATAAGTAAAAATATGATTAAGGGAGTGCGTTCTACAAGTAAAAATATGATTAAAGTACATACATTACACAAAAATTATGGTTCTAAAATTATGGTTTCCAAAATTATGGTTCCTCCGGGAAATAAAGGGTCCCCGAGGTCATTGGAAGTAACTTTTTCCTTTGCGAAAATGCGATCCGCGGCTTCGTTCGTGAGTTATCGAAAGAAAACGGCGACCAATGAGAGGCGAGATCGGCTGGCGCGAGGCGGCCGCGCCTCGACCGCTCGTGCGCCGCCGTGCGCGACAGTCGAGTTCGCCTCTCATTGGTCACTGTTTTTCGTTAATAACTCGTTAACGATGCCTCGGAGAACATTTTCGTAAAGGACAAAGTTATTTCAAATAACCTCAGGATTCTCTCTTTGCAGATTGCGAGACATTTTTGGGACAGCCTATATTTTAATCTTTTCATTAATTTAGAACACCTAGCACTTTGATTGCCGCTTCATCCATGTATAGGTGACCGAATGATTCGTTGTTATTAATATATTATTAATATAATTAATCTGTATTTCCAGTTATTAAGATCTGTAATCCAGTTATTAATATAATTAATCTGTTATATTTTCGAAATTTTATTAGAATTCGCAAAACATAAGGATATTGAAAAAGCGACCGATATCGCAAAATTAAACTTTCTAATTTCATATTTTTCGAACAAAGTGCCTCGGGGACCCCTCGTTTCCCGAAAGTACCATAATTAAAATTTTTTTAAATTACTTGAGACGATACAAGTGCATGCCGAGTCTCAGTCGTCAAACGTGCTCAAAGGGTTAACAAAAAGACCTCTAATGCTTCAAATACCAAAAAATTGAAGAACAGGATTAAAAAAAAACTGAACTAAAAAATTGAAATACTAAAAATCGGCGGACTCCGTCGTCTGAAATATTTCGAACTATAATTTAACTTAGGCGAAACAAGTGCATGCGGAGTCTCAGTCGTCAAACGTGCCCAAGGGGTAAACAAAAAGACCTCCAATGCTTCAAATACCAAAAAGATTGAAGAACTAGGTGAAAAAAAAACTGAAATAAGAAATATAAATACTAAAAATTGACGGACACCGTCATTTTAAATATTTCGATCTACATTCAGTCGCGAATCTCTCTCGCGACACCCAGACACCGCACCAACCGCGTGAAATTTTTAATTGCCGTCGATCGGTGTTACGGCGCCGCCTCCGCCGCCTAGATCCGTCATTATGGCAATCAGCGATGTTCATTGTTGCAGGGAGCGGTCGCGCGGCGCTGTGTCCCCGATCGCGAGATAACTCTGCACTGTAATCCCGCATGCTAATTCCCGGCGAATGGAAACACAGCGCGGGATATTAAAGCGATTTCAGATTCCCGATAAAAAAGCCGTTGCTCTCTCGCAACGCGTGGGAGAGAGAGACAGAGAGAGAGAGACAGAGAGAGAGAGAGAGAGAGAGAGAGAGAGAGAGACAGAGAGAGACAGAGAGAGAGAGAGAGAGAGGGAGAGAGAGGGAGAGAGAGAGAGGGGAGGCACTTTCTCGAGGGGGACGCGCGTCCCGCGTCCTTCCAGCTCCGCGGGTCCGCGCGCGATCCGCGACGACGGCTCGCGCGAGAATGCGGCTCGCTCCTCGATTCCGTCTTCTATTATATTTATCCGTTCGAAGCGTATCGATCGCGCGGTTATCGAAGGCGTGGCAGCCGGGGCCAGAGAGAGATTCGCCGCGGACGACGGACGGGCGCGAGTGAAAGTCCCGGCGGATCGGATCGGCGAGCGAAACGGAGACGAATCGAGCGCGCGCGCGCGCGCGCGCGTCCGCTTCGGGGCGCCCCGCGGGAATGGCCGGTCGGTCGGGCGGCGCTCTTCGCTTCCGTGACTGGTCGGATACTACGAACGGATCGGTGCCGCTTTTTCCGGGCCGGCAAAAAACGCGCGACCGTTCCGATTGTCTTTTCCATGATCGCGTGCCGCCGCCGAGCCCGGCCGTTTTTTCGTTGCCACGAGCGTCTCGTCGAGAGATAATTGCCTCGCGCTGTCGCGGCCGAGCGTGCGCTTCGCGTTCTTCCGAAGAGAGCTTTCACGTTTCGGGACCCGAGGAGGAGCGGGATTTATCTCTGTTTCCCTTTCGTGACATCCGATCGGCACGTGACCACCGGGCTGGATCTAGATATCCCACCCGCCGGCACCTTGGACCAGTTTTGTCCCGCGGTGAGGACGCACGCGAGCGACCGACCACCACCGGCCACCGGCAATCTAGGCGTTTTACGGCGGACGGTTTCACTGAACCGGTGCACCCGGCCGGCCCTCGGCCGGTTATCTACATATAAGACCGGAGAAATGTTAAACTAGTTTCCGCGATTTTTCAGCCGGCCGGGTATAAAGGAGAAATTCAATGTCGGCTGATACATCATTAGACGTCGCGCCGGCGTGTCGGTTCGATCTGCTCGATCAACGGTGAACGGTGGACAGGAGGGTGTTCCGTTGCGAATGAGACAGCGAGGCGAAACGGGGGCTCTCGTTGATCCGTGCCACGTATTTTAAAGGCGAACCTGAGTGACGGCTGATTGATATGGCGATGCTGGTTGGTATATATATGTATATGTATATATATATATTTTGTAGAAGTCTGATAAGCCCGCGGCCGGCGATAAAGTTGGCTTGGATAGGTTTGATATCGAATGGAGCCGTTCGCGGGTGTTCGCGTCGCTTTTTTAGCGTTTTTCCTTTCTCTTTTTGTTGTTGTGAAAGTGATCGCTTGACCCTTTGCACTCGACTGGCGACATTGCATTTCCAAGGCGCCACATCGAGAACTGTTTATATTTGGAAAATTGTGTCGGAAGGGTAACTGTTGCACGAGTCACTAAGTTCAATTTTCTATGTTCAAAGTGCATTGGGTTGTATAAAATGGAGAAAGTATATTAATAAAACTATATAATACGGAGAAACTATGTTAAATTTTGCGTTAATTTGTTCGTTAATTTCTTCGAGAGCGAAGGGTTCGCCCTTAAATGCCGTTTGGCGACATATGTACAGTCGCGCACAAAAATGTTCGTACAACTTTTAAAACGTAATAACTTTTTTAAGACTGGACTATGTGATTTGAATTTTTTTTAGATGATAGAGGGACTAGTGTACTAGGTAATGACCAAAATGTTCTTTTTTTTAAATTTTGCTATTAGTAGTTCGAATGACAAAAGAACAAAAAATAGAGAACTATCGTTTTTTAACTTTTTTATCTGATCTTGTAACAAAAATTTAAAAAATGCCTCTCGTAGAGTTAACCGAGAGTCGAGCTACAGGCCTTGAAAGATTTAAAAAACTGCAAACTTCTTACAGTTTTTTTTTATCAAAATCGTGACAAAACTGCGATATTTGCTATCTTTAATTCGTCTTTTACTTTTCTTCTGTCATTCCAAATAATAGCAAAATTTAAGAAAAGAAGACATTTTGATCACTGTCTAGTATATTAGTCCCTCTATCATCCGAAAGAAAAATTCAAGTAATTTAGACTAATTTTAAAAAAGTTATTATGTTTTAAAAGCTGTACGAATACTTTTGTGGACCACCATATATACAATATATTACCACTGTAATAAAAAAACTATTCTCCCAAAGATAGAATTTATCTCTTCACTTTCCCCTCAATCAATCGAAAACCATAAATCGTGCATTTAAGTGTCAACTAAAACTATTCTGCTAAAGATACAATTTTTCTCTTCATTTGTCCCTCAATATACCCTAATTTTTTATCAAATTCCGATAAATAGGAATCGAATTAAAAAAATCGCGCATTTAAGTGTCTCTCAACTAAAACTATTCTCCCAAAGATACAATTTCTCTCTTCATTTGTCCCTCAATATACCCTAATTTTTATCACAAAGTCCAATAAATACCAATCGAAAACAAAAAATCATGCATTTAAGCATCAATCAAAGGTCATCGGTCATTATCCTAACCGTCTCCCCGCGTCTTCTCTCTCACTCACCACACCATTATAATTCCAATTACCATACCGCAGGCGCTGATTCTACTACTCTCGACGAGCCTGGTCCAAGGTGACGGGAAGAGCAACGACCCGAACGACGAGCCGTTTCTCCCGATATTCCCCGTGTACCCTTACAACCCTAAGCTGATCAAGCGAGGCGTCGACAGGGACGGAAATATCGCGCAATTGTCACCGGAGTTGTACGCGCCGAAACTGGACGCTAAAGACTCCTACACTTCGAGCTACACCGCGAACTACCCTCGCGATCCTTACTACCCCAGCTACAACCCCTACCCAAAGGCGTCCACCGCGTCCGGCTACTCTTATTACGGCTCTCTTCCGTACTCTTACCCGAGTACAAGCTCGTATCCAGCGTACAGCGGCTACAACACGTACTCCACGCCATATCCGATGCCGCCTTCTTACACGGCGATGCCGTACTCGACGCCCTACCCTAATTACTACTACCAGCCGCCCTACTATTACCCGAACTACTACTCCCAGCCGATGTACGGACCGCCCCCGCTGCCACCGGCCGGCGCGGACTACCCCGGCGATCCTTATTCCGACCAAGAAAGCGAGAAGATCGCGAAGAAGAAGCCGTCCGGCGAGAAAAGGTACAAGAGCAACGAGGAGCAAGACTCGTCGAACAGCCAGTACATCGACGGAGGAAATTACATCTCGGGCAGCTCGAAGGACCTGGACAGCCAGCCGAGCACCTACAAATCCAGCAGCCCGCAGAACCAGCTGGAACAAGTGACCGACATCCACATCAAAAGCATCCCTCTCCCGGCGCCCAAGACCACCTACAGGGTGGTCAGCGTCGCGGGCCAGCCCGTGGGCCCGGACTACCCTCTGCCAGCGCCCTACGTCAAGGCGCAACAGCTTGAAGAGCTGATGAGCCAGACCTGGGCGAAGGTGCTGGCTCAGAACCTGCAATCGGCCGCACAGTATTCGGGGAACGACGGCAACAAGAACGCCGAAAGGGGTCAGATCAAGGATCAGAGCAGGGATCGGTACGTCTCCGTGCCCAACGTGATCGCGAAGACCGGGCTGGCGTACGTCGTGAATCCAAACATCGTCGGCAAGCTGAACCTGGCGAATGCCGCTAGTCAGATCGCACAGGCGCCGACGACCCACTTGAAGAGCATCAATTATCCGCCGCCGGTCGCCGGGGTTTACACCGCGGTCGAGAAGCCGACGAAGGATCAGTCGGACTCGGGCGAGTACGATAACTATAACGACGGCTCGTCGTCTTCTCAGGCGGCGTCCCAGGATTACGAGGGCTCCCAGAACGAGAAGCAGCAGAGCTACGAGGCCGAGCAGTCTTATCAGGGCCAGAACTTCGTGACGGTGCAGACGCCCCAAGGCTACGGCTACCAGTACACCGGAAGCTATCCGGCGCAGAGCGGCCAGCAACCGTACAAGAACAACCTGGACGACGTGAACTTCGGTAGCAAGACGAAGAAAGGGTAGGAAATGATGCCGAAGAGGCGAGCTTGCGATGCTGAAGAGCTTCAAAGGTGCTACGAATCTTCGAGACGCTGCCGTTTCGAGGATCATCCAGTTTTCCACGACTCCCGCGGACGACTTTTGCTGAACGAACGCCACAGAAAATCAGCTTTCACACGGCGCCGCGCGTTCTCGATCGATGCCGACGGGTATTATATTTATAATTGTTTCCTGTAGTTTCTACTTCCGATTCTTGTTACGAGCGAGCGCCGCCCGCTGCCGGAGCGGTCAGAGAAAAACGCGACCTCCGCGGCGCGCAGGTTCCGCCGGGTTAATCATACTTTCGCTCCCGTTAGGCCGGTTTTTTTCTCTCCTCGTTCCCGCTCCCGGGGACTGAACTCGCGGCCTGAACTCGGCCCGAACTTTCTCACCTACGACCCGCGCGCTCGCCGGCGACGCAAAAGCTGCTTGCGAGCGGCTTCCGCATGCAAATATTGTACTCGGTCGCTGGATAATAAACGATCGTTGTTGGTTCTTTTCGCGGTGCATTCCTTTCTCCTTCTCTCTATGATTTATGAGCGAGGATCTACAGGGTGTCCCAAAAATGTCTCGCAATACGGAAATGACGGGTTCCTCGGATCATTTGAAGCAGCTTCTTCCTTTACAAAAATGTTCTCCGAGGCACCGTTTACGAGTTATTAACGAAAAACAGCGACCAATAAGAATCGAGCACGGCTGACGCGAGGCGGCCCAGCCAACCAGCGTCCGAAGCCCAGTTCCGCTCATTGACTCGGGCTCGCCTCTCATTGGTCACTGTTTTTCGTTGATAACTCGTTAACGGCGCCTCGGAGAACATTTTTGTAAAGGAAAAAGTTGCTTAGAATGACCCGAGGAACCCGCCACTTTGGGATTGCGAGACATTTTTGGGACACCCTGTATATTGTCGGGGACCGTTGATCGAGGACCGAGCGCGGCCCGATCGGGAAAAATCGAAGCTCCGGAGGGAAATGCGTCGAGGCGGCGATCGAACGCCGCGGAACGAAAGCCATGGATCCGGATCAAGGGAACGTCCGGCGGTCCCCGTCGTTCGGGGCCCGATTATGGAAAGGAGAAGTGCGATCACGGGGATCAGGTGAGAGAGAGAGTGGCGCGTACACGCCGGCTGTTTTATTTTCCCCTGTTGCCCTGCCTTGCCGATGCTCGAAAATAAAATCAGCCGAACCCGGGAGCCTCTTACTTTCTCGCGGCCGGGCACGATTTCGATCTGCTGCGGACGCAAATATACTACACACACACACGGTGACCTGAAAGCTTCGTTACATTCCGCAGGCCCCGAACGCATCGTTGCCGGGCCTCCGTCGTCGAGAACTTCCGCGAACACCGACGGTCCCGCTCTTATCCTGCTTTCAGGGCATTGCTTTCAGAGTACGTTTTGGATACTTTCTACGCCGGCGATCGATTTCCCCCTTCGGGCCTTTCGCGAGGGAAATTTCATTTCTCTTCCCGTTCGGGGACTTTTTTCCCGGGGATTTTCCCGGCGAACGTTGGAACCGTTTTTTGACGATTACCGGACGACCTTCTCCAACTCGGTCGATGATCCTGAGAGAGCGATCGGGAAGAAAGGCGTGCTCGGTGTGCCCTCATGGCGGCGCTGACGAAATGTAACGGGCCAGGGCCTGCCTAGGGTCCGTTCCTCCTTTTTTTTCCTCTTTTTTTTCTTCTTTCTTTTTCTCCGGGCGAATATCGCCGACGTTGCACGGCCGAGCAACTTTCTCGGCTTAATTGAAGGTAATTCGAGCCGCGGTAGACGGCGACTCGATCATCGTTTTATGGATCGGGCCCGTCCACGCCCGGGATGCGAATAGAAAGTGTTCTTTTTCGCTCGCGGGACATGTGTGTGTGCTCTCGCGTGAAGAAAGGGTTCGCGGAAACGACGCGCGGATTCGATGGCGATCCGATCGACGCCGCGGGGAGAACGGGGGGTCTACAAAGAGATTGATGGACACTGCGGGATCCCCTTTACTTCCGGTAGCCGTGATCATATTTTTTCCTGCTCGATCGAGTGAAATGTTGTCCTTTTTCTCGCGTTGGAATTCCTCCTGGGTGCAACTTGCCTCGCCTACCTCGCGGTGCAGTTGATAATGATTTTTAGAACGTGCGGACGAATATGCGGCGTTCAGGCGATCGTCGCGTGGGAATTTCTGGTCGGTGAAACTCTCTCTCTCTCTCTCTCTCTCTCTCTCTCTCTCTCTCTCTCTCTCTCTCTCTCTCTCTCTCTGTCGCCTTTGTTACGAGTTCTGGAAAGTGGTCCGTGAAAATAGGATTTTTACGAATATTCGACGAGGACGAGACAAAGGTTTTTACGCATTTGTGACGGAAACGAGGGGAACAGACGCGAAGTATTTAAAACGTTTGGAGAGTTTGAAAATATTGTTATACTGTTTTTAGTGTGTTAAGAATATTTTTTACGAAAGAAATAAAGTTCTGTTTGGCTTCGGATTCTTGCGAATGAATTGGGCATTGTATACAGATCCGCGATATGCTAATGATGTTAAATATAAAATTGTCGAGTTTTAGTTATTGTTTTATACCGTATTTGTTTTCTTAACGATTTCAAGTCTTTTTTACTGGTTATGCCAAGGTTACTAATGATCAAGTATACTAATGATATTAACTACAAAATTGTCCAGTTTTAGTTATTATTTTATACTGTGTTTGTTTTCTTAATGATCCCAGGTCTTTTTACTAGTTATTCTAAGGTTATTAATGATCAAGTATACTAATGATATTAAATACAAAATTATCAAGGTTTAATTATTGTTTAATACTATCTTTGTTTCCTTAATGATTTCAAATCTTTTTACTGATTATGTTAAGGTTACCAATGATCATCTATACTTATGATATTAAATACAAAATTATCAAAGTTTCCTGATTTCTTTTTACTGGTTTCTTAACAAATAAGCTAATTGAGCAGATGAACGGAACGGTAGTTCTATTAAATTCACGGATTAAAACACAATTATTTTTGAGGTGCGCGAGTTAAGACATCAAATTAAATCGTTCTATCCATTATTAGCTCACTTAAACATTTCATAGGGTATTTCTCTCTCTCTCTCTCTCTCTCTCTCTCTCTCTTTCTGTCTCTGCCTTTGTTAAATTCGATAAAGGCGTGGGAGAGAGAAAGAGAGATAGAAATAGAAAGAGAGAGAGAGAGAATATAATTTTATGTGCATCTATCTAATAATGGAATCGTAAGTTAAGAAGTTTATTCGGTGCTCCTGCGAGGTATGCCAATTTTATTCGGCTCAGCGATATTGAATCGAATAGTACGCGGAATGAAAACTTCAGAATCATTACAGCTGTGATTATTAAGTCTTTCTCTCTCTCTCTCTCTCTCTCTCTCTCTCTCTCTCTCTGCCTCACCCCCTCGATCTTTTAATATATTGATCCCGCTTTTCGCTTGTTTGGGGAAGTGTCCTCGTAACCTATCTTCCCTCTTTTATTCCCCCGAGACAGGCAGTCTGTTATTCTGGTTCGTACATACATTGATAGACTTCGTAAAAGCTCCTGGAAATCGGTTCTAGCAACACACAATTTATATCTTCGTTCCTTCACGGACGAAACAGTTACATGTAGGCGTGCTTTTAAACCAGAATTTTCTCTCAGAATTTTCATTAGGTCTTAAACTATTTTTTACGATTTCCCTCTTCTCTTGTCCTTAATTACAATATTTGCAATGGTACACTTTTCAGAATTTTCATTGGATCTTAAACTATTTTTTACAATTTCCTTCTTTTCTTGTCCTTAGTTACAATATTTGTAATGGAACACTTCTCAGAATTTTCATTAGGTCTTAAAATATTTTTTACAATTTCCTTCTTTTCTTGTCCTTAGTTACAATATTTGTAATGGAACACTTCTCAGAATTTTCATTAGGTCTTAAAATATTTTTTACAATTTCCTTCTTTTCTTGTCCTTAGTTACAATATTTGTAATGGTACACCTTCCAGAATTTTCATTAGGTCTTAAACTATTTTTTACAATTTCCTTCTTTTCTTGTCCTTAGTTACAATATTTGTAATGGTACACCTTCCAGAATTTTCATTAGGTCTTAAACTATTTTTTACAATTTCCTTCTTTTCTTGTCCTTAGTTACAATATTTGTAATGGTACACCTTCCAGAATTTTCATTAGGTCTTAACTATTTTTCACAATTTCCTTCTTCTCTTGTCCTTGGTTCTAATTTTTGTAACGGTATACCTTCCAGAATTTTCATCAGCTCTTAAACTGGTTTTTACAATTTCCTTCTTTTCTTCTCCCCGATTCTAATTTTTGTAATTATAGACATTTGCAACACCAGTAATAAATCTCATCCACTTCACAACAGCGACGCGACGTCGCTACTCAATTTCTTCCATTTATCAATAATTATAAACATTTCCTTTTGCCACACCAACAGTACATTTTCCTATCGTTCTGTTATAAATTATTATTTCCCTACCTCCAAGCATTTTTAATTTATTCGAGATCGCGATATTTCGGGTTCACCGGCGATCAGGCCGAGGGAAAAAGCGCCCCCGATGCGCTTCGCCGTGGTTTCTATAGCAGAGCGGCAATAAAACTTGACAATTTCGGAACGCAATCGAAAGAAGCGCAGACAGAGACACAAGCCCGAAGGACCGTGTGTCGCGTTCAACAACTGTTCCGAATGACCTAGTAACTGGGTCCCGCTTAGAAGTGCATACGTTTTGTAAGGCTCTGTTGAGCTTTGACCCAGTCGTCTCTACCAACGTACGAAGAAATAAAGCTGGCTTATATGCTTTTTCCACGGAAGCACGTTCCGCATTACGCGATAAGGTGCTTCTCATCGACTGAGTCTCCGCCGTTGTTTCATTAAAAACTCCTGCTTAGCGGCAGCCTTGATCGATAGTGCACTCGAAGCTGTGCACTTTCTTTCAGAATTGCTCGCATTTTCAACGTTTCTCATCGTACGATGACCCACTGAAACGATTCTGTCCGATCCTCGCACCTAAATTATTTCCTAAAACCGAGTTCCGATCGCTTTCGGTTGCTCGACGACGCTAAACTAGATGAGTCACCCTATATAGTAATGTCTCTCTAATTGACGCCCAGATTGTCCACGAAAATGGAAAATTCGAGAAGAGGAGATACGATTATCCGAGCCATGCGTCTCGTTTTTTACAGTCATTGACATTCGATAAGTATAAAAACGAGGTACAAGCCTCGAATAATCGCATCTCTTCTTCCAAAATTGTCCACTTCTGGGGACAATCTGAGCGTCAATTAGAGAGACATTACTGTGCACCGCACCCCGAAGCCCCGATAGGAAAATCGACGCTCGTCGTTTCACTGTCGCGAAATTTTGTTGCTACAAAAATTTTGCATAATGCTAGGAATGGGTATTTTGTATGAAATAAGATATATCGATCGTTTTAATTTTATTCGCGAATTAATTTCCACGCGGAAGTAATCGCGCACAATATTCTGGCGTAACGCGTTCCACAAATTATGCTGTATATTTTAAATGAAAAATATTGTTCCGTTTCACAGCACAGATGGAAAAAAAATTAAAAATCTCACGGTATTTGAAAACAGAAAATGGGTGCATCTTAAAATGCTTTTAAGGAAAGTTATTAGTATTATTTTATATAAATAAATATCATTGCTATTTATTATTATTGAATTCTTTATTGTTATTTATTATTATTTAATTCTTTGTTATTATGTATTATTATTGAATTCTTTATTATTATTTATTATTATTGAATTCTTTATTATTATCTATTATTATTTAATTCTTTATTATTACTTATCATTATTGAATTCTTTATTATTATGTATTATTATTTAATTCTTTATTATTATCTATTATTATTTAATTCTCTTTGTTAATATTTATCATTATTGAATTCTTTATTATTATGTATTATTATTTAACTCTATATTATTATTTATTATTCATTATTATGATTATCATTACATTATAAGTAAATATTATTTTATATAAATAATTATTAATATCCGCCGTGCACTTTGCACTCGCATGAACGGATCGTCTTTACCATACGCCGACTAACAAACAAAGAAACAAACCGCAAGTACCGGAAGATTTGTTTCAGTAACAGAAACGAGTATATAACGGCAGCCTTGATCGATAGCGCACTCGAAGCAGTGCACTTTCTTTCAGAATTGCTCGCATTTTCATCGTTTCTCATCGTACGATGACCCACTGAAACGCTTCCGTCCGATCCTCGCGGCTAAATTATTTCCTAAAACCGAGTTCCGATCGCTTTCGATTGCTCGACGACGCTATAAACCCGTAGGTGGGCCCCACCCAGCACCCTGCAGCCCCGATAGTGAAGCTGTCGGACGCAGGCCGGCAACGAATTCACTTCATTAGCGGACTAATGAACCGATTAACCGGCGGAATAATTGGAACGACTTTGTACTTTCGAGAACTTCGGAACGATTTAGACGGAGATTATCGGCGGGCCGGCCAGCCAGCGACAGCTATTTAAGCCGGCGGCTTCTTCTTCCCTCCGTCGTAAACGCGTCCGGCATGCATCGTTCTCGGGCCGGTATCTGAAAATGCTTAGTTAATGATCCGTTTCCCGAGCGACGCGGGAGCATATCCGCGTTTCCATCGACTTTTCTTCGCCGGTTCTCACGGCTTTGCCGAGCAGCGGTAGCTCGTTTTTCTCGAATCGATCGTCCGGTTTTCATGGCGGCGCGCCGCGCCGCTGGTGCAACGATCGTGAGAAACGCGTTTAGTTTCTTTCGACGTTGGTGTTATTCGCGATTAGCTGGCCGGCACGTACGGTGTCCGAGGACTCCGAGAAATCGAATCCACGTTGTGTCGCGAGCCAGTCGAATCTTAGGTAACGGCGTTACACCTCGGCATTGTTCGGCCGGCCGACGCTGCTCTGCCGATGCTCCAGATTTCTTTCTAGGCGAACAGATGAAAACGCGCCGCGAGCTGGAGAGGTGTCCGCAGCACGAGAGGGATGATTCGCACGATGTACCTTCACTTCGAGCATCGGCCGGCTGGCTTAGCTTCTTCGGCAGCTGGTCCACGAGGCCCATTACGCGCGCCATGATCCGCAAGTGAAGTGTGTGCCCCCGTCAGGGGATGCTACTGGTAGGGGTAAAGGCTATATAAGAGAAGGTGAATCTACTTTGGTTTTGTAGTAGAGCTAGGATCTTTGCGCCGCGATCGTACCTTTTGCGCAGAGTAGAGCGACATGGTACGTATCACTTTCTGGAATATCGCACACGGAAATGCTGTTTCACGGTTCGAGTGCTCCCCGGTCAATATCCATAGAAATAATAGAAGGACGTGTAGAAAACGCGGATGAATCGAATAACAGCCGTTCGATAGCGCGTTTCCTTCGCATCTTGTCTCGCGTCGCAAGCTTCTTTTTGCCCCCTCGCCCATCGCCATTAAACAATTATTTAGTTAGAATAATCCATCGAAATTTTTCAACTCGCCATTAAACGAGTTACGATAATTCATCGAGCAATAATTCAGTCTCGCTGGTATGAACGATGAAATTCGACGGCGCTCGATGCTCGATCATTCCCGTTTACATTTATATTTTGGTTCTAAGCGACCGTTTGCCACGATTTCAACGAGTACGAATCGTAATTTTCGCTACAAATCGTAAGTATCGAGCTCAACAGCTAATTGGTCACAGTACAGTTATCGTAAAGATTGATCGTAAAGCAAACGTGGTATTAGCAATTCTACGATATACTGTTAACAAGGTTTCAAGTGAAGTTATTCCGTTCGACCGGATTCCTTCTTCGGCGACTGAATCCGATCCATTTTATTAGGAATAATTATTAAGAAAAAACAATTATTAGATATTGTTCATTTTATTGGGAGAGTCGACGCTCGTTGTTTCACTGTCACGGAATTTTGTTGCTATAAAAATTTTGCGCAATGCTAGGAATGGGTATTTTGTGTGAAATATATATAAGGTATTGATTGTTTTAATTTTATTCGCGAATTAATTTTCACACGGAAGCAATCGCGCGCAATATTGTGGCATAACGCGTTCGTCAAATTATGCTATATATTTGAAATGAAGATAATTGTTCCGTTTTACAACACAGACGGAAAAAAGATTAAAGATTTCACGGTATCTGAAAACAGAAAATGGGTGCATCTTAAAATACTTTTAAGGGAAATTATTAATATTGTTTTATATAAATAAATATTATTATTCTTTATTATTATTGAAATCTTTATTATTATATATTATTATTGAATTCTCTGTTATTATTTATCATTATTGAATTCTCTATTATTATTTATCATTATTGAATTCTCTATTATTATTTATCATTATTGAATTCTCTGTTATTATTTATCATTATTGAATTCTCTATTATTATTTATCATTATTGAATTCTCTATTATTATTTATCATTATTGAATTCTCTATTATTATTTATCATTATTGAATTCTCTATTATTATTTATCATTATTGAATTCTCTATTATTATTTATCATTATTGAATTCTCTATTATTATTTATCATTATTGAATTCTCTATTATTATTTATCATTATTGAATTCTCTATTATTATTTATCATTATTGAATTCTCTATTATTATTTATCATTATTGAATTCTCTATTATTATTTATCATTATTGAATTCTCTATTATTATTTATCATTATTGAATTCTCTATTATTATTTATCATTATTGAATTCTCTATTATTATTTATCATTATTGAATTCTCTATTATTATTTATCATTATTGAATTCTCTATTATTATTTATCATTATTGAATTCTCTATTATTATTTATCATTATTGAATTCTCTATTATTATTTATCATTATTGAATTCTCTATTATTATTTATCATTATTGAATTCTCTATTATTATTTATCATTATTGAATTCTCTATTATTATTTATCATTATTGAATTCTCTATTATTATTTATCATTATTGAATTCTCTATTATTATTTATCATTATTGAATTCTCTATTATTATTTATCATTATTGAATTCTCTATTATTATTTATCATTATTGAATTCTCTATTATTATTTATTATTCATTATTATTATTATTATTATTATTATTATTGTTACTTTATAAGTAAATACTATTTCATACAAATAATTATCAATATCCGCCGTACATGTTTGCACTCGCATAAACGGATCGTCGTCGAGTATCCGGCGCGCCGCAAGTAAACTCTCGCGTCGTCGACGGCACTAAGGGAAGAAAGTTGTGAAAATCACTTTCTTTCGCCATGCGTCGCGAGAATAATACCCTCTCGCGTCGAGAGAGAACGCAATAATTCGCTTCCCGATAAAAAAAGAAAAGTCCTCCTCGACGCCGAGGGTCAGATCTTTTTCGGACACCCGATATCTCGCCCACGTTGCACCGAAATTCCCGTCGGAATGGTACGAGGAAGAGAAACTTTTACTTTTGCATCGATGATGCGATACACTTGGTCAGCCCGACGACGGCACGGGATCACGGAGGAGGGGCGGGGGTGGGGGGTGGAGGGGAAGCACGATGCGTGGCGCAGTGTATAAAAGACTGGTCCATGCCGGATGTTTGACCCAGAACTTCACGCGCAGTGAAAGTGTATCCCGATGCAAGTTCATTTTTTCCCAGTGGTCGCAATGGTTAAGGAACACAATCATACGATACGAAGCATGCGTAGCGATATAAATCAAATCATGATCGCGTTGTTGATACTCTATACTCTGATGTTATAACGGACGAGCGTCGATTATCGAGCGACCACGTGACAATCTGTGTTTATTTCTTTTTTTGTAGAGGCTGTACCTGATACTGGGCCTGCTGTTCGCCGCCGCGAGCGCCGAGAAGAAGATCAATTTGGAGGACATAGAGCGGGACAATTTGAGGGCGGAAGGTATATCGAAGTCCGGGGTGGCACGGCCGGAGGCGACGAACTACTTGACGAAGCCCGAGATTAGTCAGCAACAGTACCAACTGCCCGGCCAATACAACAGGCCGCCTAATGCACCTGTTGCATACGCTGCGCCTCCGTCCGGTCAAAATGTAAAGCGATACGATTTGCAATATTCTCGTGGGCCACCTCGGGCCGCTATCACCGCGAACATCTTTCCGCAGCCACCGGAGAGCTATGACCAACCTGGCAGATACGTCGCCAAGGATCAGGTGTACCAGCAGCAACAGAATACCGTGCTGCCGGAACAATCCCCCCCACCGCCGCCGCCGCCACAATATTTCATCGACTATCAACAGCCATCGGCGACGCCACCGAAAGAAGCCGCGCCGAACTACTACGAGCCGCAGCAACTGATCTATCAGCCGGAAGTGATAGTCGGTAATCAGATGCAGACGGTGCAGCAGAAGACGGTGACAGCGAAGTACGCGCAAACTGGGAACAAAGGTAAATTTATTTGTCGCGTTCTGTTTTATAGTTCGGTTTTTATGAACGAAGATGTTTAACAAATAACGTTATCGACGTTGTGGAGATTTTAGTAAATATCATTCGCATTTTACTAAATAAATTGGCCGACCGTGTTGTCGAAGAAATTCTTGAATTAGCTAAAATTTCAAACAAATTGAAATTTAAAAAAAGACACAATTTTTCCTTCGAAGGATATATCGAGGAATGGATTACGCGATGATCTGGAAATAGAGTAAAATGAAAGCAAATAATATTGTTTAAACAATCACATATATATAAAGAGAAAATATATATATGTATATATAATATATAATATAATATAGTAATATAATATTATATATTGTATAATATAATAATATAATATAATATATATAATATAGCAATATAATATTATATATTGTATAATATAATAATATAATATTTTATATAAGTATAATAATATAACATAATATATATAAAAAGTAATATAATATAAAGAGAAAAGTATTCTGAAAAATTAACTATTTGTTCAGAATGTTATTTGTAGAGGATAGCGAATAACGTAATCAAGTTTGAACGTGAAATCAGAACAATAAAAGTTGCTTTCACTAAAAACAGGATAAAAAAACTGAATAGCATTTTTACTTAGTTCTACGAATTCTCTAACCTCGTTATTATGTTGTACGATTTCAGAGACGGTATACGTCGATATTCCCATGATGCACTTGCTGACCTATTACCCAAATTTGGACGTAAATTCTGGTAAAACCAGAGGACTATTGGTGCCCCAATTGAGTACGGCTGGATCGCAGCAGATATCTATTCCTGTTTATACGTCGGCGCTAAGCCAGAAACCGATTGTTCCAGTGAAGCCGACTTATCAGATCCAGTACACACCGAAACACAATGCCGACGTTCCGACCACTTTCACTGCCAAGGTTAGCGTAAAAACTAATGATCTGTTTTTACCACAATGCTTCAATCTCAAAACGGTTAATCGCCGCCTGTGTTTCCGCGTTGTTCCGGTTCTCACGGAAACAAGCACAATGGACTTTAAAATTCGAACGAATTAAAAGAGAACTAGGGTTACGAACGTTTTACGAACGTTCCGTTCGTTTATTGGTTATGTCAAGGTTATGTTTAACTTTGAAGTTAATTTTTTAATTTATATTGGAAATAAAATTAACTTTAGAATTTAAACAAAGAAACTTAAAAATTATTTTTAACTTTAAAATTCGAACGTTTAGAAGAAAACTAGGGTTTCGAACATTTTACGAACGTTTCATTCGTTTGTTGGTTAAAATTAGATAATAGCGTCGTTCATGCAAAATGAAAATTGTCGTCATCGAAAGCAATAAAAAAGATCCAGATAGGAATTTCTTCTTTCCTTTGGCAATTTTAGCGAATTGAAAATATTGTATAGATAATATTTTTAAATTTTCTTGAACTTTCCATCGTTTTAAATTTTTATCCGAATTTTTATGCGAAGCTCATAGATTCAGCACTTGCAGTCTAGTAATGTCGATCTAATTTGCCTCTTCCGATCTACCAATAAGTTTGAATTTGCACTCAATTTGCTTAGGATCATCTATAACTTTGTTTATGATTTTTTCTCATCATATATTGCAACGAGACATATCTAAAAATTTAAATCAATTGTCGGAAACTAAGCAGTCAAACAATAATATTCACAGTCCGAATCCAAGTGGACCCTAACTGAAATATTATTAATATTTAACATAACTTCAAAACATTTACGAACTTTATCGTATACAAAATAACAAAATCCTCTGAGCACAATGTTCGTGCAATTCCGCAAAACTTTATTTACTCGCATTTTCTTATAACGTACTCCATGGTAAACTAAAAGTCATTCTTCCTTTTCAGCCACAAAAAAGCTCCGTTTACGCTTCTCCCGTTACCCCGAAGAAGTACACCAGTGCCCCGTTAGTGAACGCGGCAGCGTACGTCCAGCCGGACCAATCGTACGCCCAGGGCAGACAGTTTTTGTACACGCAAGCATACGTTGCCCAATCCCAGCCGCAATACGTTTCTCAATTGGTCTACGCACAACCGGCCGCTGTTTATATGCACGCGACACCTGTGTACAGTGACGTGTACGCTCGAACGCCTGCCTATGCGCAGGACAACGGCGAGCAAGGTAACGTTAAGTACAGCGAGCCACCTGAGCAATCGGAGACCGCAACAGAACCGCTAGCTGACGAACTGCCCAATCAGGTCTTGGCCCAGCAAGCTAGCCAGAGCGTGTCTCAGAATTACGTCAAGGTTGGTGTACATTAGATGAAGGTTATGTCGCATTAGCCCATACGAACTGCAGTAATTTCTCCCGAATTCGCGCTCAGATTGCGCACAAAAATGGACAATTTGGGAAGAGGAGGTACAATTATTTATAGTTTTTATTTATAGCTTTCGCAGTTGTTGGCAATCGGTAACTATAAAAGCGAGTCGCAAGGTTATGTTTGTTAATTTGTTATTTTTATTAATTGTCCAAATTTTGTGCGCAATCTGAATTAGGAAGAAATTACTGTACTTCTAATATTAGTGATACTAATGAACAGACTGCTTCATCTGAGTTTACATTTTGCGAAGATATTTGTTAAACAGGGATATCATTAAGGACTCCTATTGGGCTAAAATTATGCTTCTCGAGCTGTACCAAAAGTTTGATTTTCGACTAGCGTGCACGGCGCGAATTTAGAATTGCTTCTGATGTGTTAATTGAGCTGTTAATTTAGCTGCTAATTGAGGTGTCAAATGAAAGCTAAGAAAACAAGATAATTACTTCAAGATTGCCCATTACAAAAGAAACTTTCGCGGTAACGCGGTGGTCGAATTATTTTAGACGTCTCATGTCAACAATTTATTGGAATGAACAAATATTATAATAATAAAATATTGTAATATATAATATATAATATAATATTATAATATAAATACTATATAATAATATATAATATAATATTATAATATAAATATTATTTAATAATATAATATTATAATATAAATATTATATAATAATATAATATTATAACATAAATATTATAATAATCATACGAATGTTCATCTACGTCAAAATCCACGTAGATTTGATCAATGTGAAAAGCGTAGACCGATCGAAGAGTGGCTTCTAAAACTTAGAATTGAATAATAATAATAATAATAATAACTTAATGAAATAAAATATAGCGAATAAGAATAGAATAACTCAATAACTTAAAATTGAATCTCTAATTGATAATATTAACCTGTATAATTACTTATCAGGATCCCGAAGAACCGAACGAAAACTTGGTGCCACCCCAGTTGCCCGCGCAAGAGTTCAAGACCGGCGTGACGTCGTTGCTGCCGGTTCCATCGCAGGAGGACGAGTCCGTTCCGGTCCAAAATCACGTGGGTCCCTCGGAGCCGAGATCTCTGCTGGATTCGTACGTTCCTAGCAAGCTAATTGCGGCCCAGGATTCAGCGAGGTGAGCGATTCCCTTGTAAAAGTGGAACAACGGTCCCGAACCGTCTCTTTTCACCTGGCTAACGCAGACCATTTGCCGCAGATACGAGGAGAGGCCGATCAAATTGGAGAGCGGCTTCCTCCCGTCGAAAGAGAATTTTCTGTACAAGAAGCTGAAGACCGTCGAGTGACCGGATCGCGCGGCAGGATTGTCCAGTGAAAATGGTCAGTAAAGGAGTGGTCGCGCTCGGTGTCGTTGTCAACTCTCGGCATTCAAAATGGCAGCCGGTGACACCGTGGACGCCTATGGGCGCGATCGTATCTAGTCTTTCACCGAGGACCGTCGAACGACAAGCGTGGAACGAATGGAACAAATGTCTCGCCTAAACAAATTGTTGTTTTTTTTGCTCCCGTCTTCTTTTTCTTTTTTTATATGTGTAGACTCGCAGACGACTCTTTTTTTTAAATAAAAACAAACACGAAACAAAGAAAAGAATACAAAAACAAACAAAACCGAACACGAGAAACAATGTAGCTGGCTCTTCCTTCGCTCGGAACCTGGTGCTTTATGTTCCGTAATTGGTTCGATCGCCGCGAAGATTCCTCGGGCAATTAGTGGAGGAGAAATCCGATCCTTGACCTGAATAGAAGTGTGAATTTCTTTTTATCTATAACCGTGTAACTCGAACAGCACATCCAGCAAAACTCGTCGAAACAAGGTATTCCTCTCGCAAGAGAGAGAGAGAGAGAGAGAGATGCAGCGGCTGCAGCAAAGGTGGTTGAAACATTTCTGGAAAACCTCGCGGACTTCTCTAGCTTGTCAGCACGCGCCGTTGGTCATTTAGCGGCAAAATTAGGCGACCGGGAATTAAATTCATCGAGACGGCCGGAGGGGGTTTATGCAAATCGACCGAAGATCGATGAGGTTAGAAATCATCAATTCTCGAGCTCATCAATCGCCCGATATATTTGTCAATTCCTGTAACTTCGGCGCTAATGTATCCCCGATAAAACCATCGATCGTGTCACCAACACTATACAGAAAACCCGTTGATACGCGACCATGTGTGCGCGCGCGCACACACACGTCGCCATGATACACCGCTTGTGCCGGCGCGACGCGGCGCGGCGAAACGAGAAAGTGGAAGAAGCTGCAGGCAAGAGCCAATGGTGTAGGCTTTTCGAATAACACAGTCGGGAGCGGCCGGCCAATAAAAGCTAAAAACACGAATTTTCCATCGGAATTACACGCTTTTACCCTGGCGAACCGTAACGACGGCTAACGAGGTCTCGCTCGGTATTATCGTTGAACCGTTCGGCGAAGGCGAGGCCGAAACCGGAACCATTCGATCGGATCGTTGCGCCCGTGAATTTCGCCCGAGTAAATATAAAACAACGCCGTGGCAATTGAATGTCCAGTTCAATGTTACAGTCGGACGGAAAAAGTCGTGCGGAGTGGGGGAAACGCCGGCGTCGCTCTTCGGTTGGAATCGCGCCGCGCTGGTGTCGAAATTCGGCGGATTATGTATTTATGTATTTTTCGCTTCGCGTTGACGGTCCCGCGGCGGAGAAGGGTGGGGGTAACGATGATTAATAGCCATCGACCGGCTTACTAGGCCGGACCAGAGCACGGATGTTTGCTGGTCCGGTGACGAAACAGAGCCTAGGCCCGGCACGCAATCACCGCGCCGCGTCCTCACTACGCTACTGGCGGCTGTCTTCCCGCACGTATCGAATGAGAAATGCCGTCGTGTTACGCCGGTGAAACTATAATCGCGTTGTCCCTCTCGCGGTTCAAGCGAAGGCATATAAGGCGGGTTGTTGCGGGCTCTGCTTCATCAGTCCCAAATACACACGACGAGACCGCCAAGCGAGCAGGTTTAAGGTCGAGCGTAGCCATGGGGTCTATCGCGTTCCACGTAAGTACCATAACCGTGTTCCTTTGTCTCCTCTCGCTCTCGACGATCCCTCGGCCCACGGATATTCGCCGTGAAATCGCGCCGGCAGTGCGTAGGTGTTTGTGAACTCGTAAGCACCACCGGAACTAGGCTGACGGAGCTCGCCGGGGACCAAAGGCCCCGCAATTAGTGACAAAGATCTCTCTCGTCCTTTCGTGAAGATCTCTCGTCGTGCGGTTTCGGGATCTTTAATCGCCACGTAAATAAGGATAGTGCTGTTCATCGGGACGAGTTGCGTGAACGTTGAAACGCGCCGCGCAACTAAAGACATTTTAACGGGAAAATAATTGGACGCCGCGAGTAGAAACTATGGGATGCTAATTATCAAAAAAAAAAGAAAAAACAGAAAAAAACAGACGTACAGAGAACGTTGCAGTTCGAGGACTTTCGTTGCTCATTGTATATTCAGCGAGGCCATCCTGCCTCTCTTAATGAGTTCCAACTAGACCGCAGACGATTATGCAAATTCATAATTTTATGCGGTGATTTACGAAAACAGGAATGAGACGAAAATCGCTTCCCGTGTTATCAGTTTCACTTTGAAATCCCGTTACAGCTTCTGTTCTCTTAGGACTTTTTAAATATTCGAGTGGATTGAATTGGAACGGTTAAATATGGATAAATATTCAAATCGATGCGTTTTTAAGTTGAGGAATTGAAATTGATCGAATCTCTAAGCGTGTTCGGTGTGCGAAGAAAATTTCATCCTTTCATGAAAAACGCTCCTTTCTTTGCTGCAAAATTTCAGTGCGCAAGTCGATTTTGTTTCTCGAAATTTTTATGCTTTCCTTTTTTTTTTACAACTATTAGTATCGTTCACGTTTTTATTCTCTGTCAGCTTCAAAATGAAAAAAGGACGATAAAGAGCGGGTTACGATTATTAAATCGCATAAACGTAGGAACGAAAGAAAATCGTTCAAGTCGACGAATGAATTAAAACTAGCTTTACAAAATGCATGGAACGAAATTACAATAATTAAGCGCGCGACGATCATTAATAATTCTCGAGAGGGGCTTTAAAAATCTATTTGAAACAGATGCAAATTTTGAATACGTACATTTAAATTTTTTTGTTTAGTTTTATGATTATAAATAATCAATTTAATAATAAATTGAAGTGTCCTTATTTTATAAACAGCTAGATATAATTATGCAGATATAGGAACAAAATATTCTCCGCACCTTGTGCAGTAAATTCTCCCTAATTGACGCTCAGATTGCGCGCAAAAATGAATAACTATGGAAAAGGAGGTATAATTATCGCTCGAACAATCCAATCTCCTCTCCCCAAATTGTTCATTTTTGCGTACAGTATACTTTCCCCAATTAACCCTCAGCTTGTATACAAAACGAATTATTAAGCACGGATTATTCGAGCCTTGCGGCTCATTTTTATAATTACCGATTACCAACAGTTATTAAAACGAGCCTCAAGGCTCCAACAATCGCATCTCCTATTCCAAAATCGTCCATTTTTGTTTCCAAGCCGAGCATCGATTAAGAAGTAATCACTGTACAGCAATGTCTCCCTTACTGACGCACAGATTGTCCACTAAAATGGACAATTTGGGAAGAGGAGATACGATTATTCCTATCTTATATACGATTATTCTTATACGAGAATAATCGTATAATAATATCGTATAAATATCGTATATAATCGTATATAATATAATGCGGTTCGTTTTTATAATTGAGGACAATTTATAACTATAACAATAAACCGCAAGGCTCCAATAATCGTATCTCCTCTTCTCAAATTGTCCATTTTTGTGGTCAATCTGGGCGTCAATTAGAGAGACATTACCATACTTGGTATTAAATTCTCTGAAGCTTCTTTTCCTTCATTTCTCGTCTTCTTCTTGTTCCTAATTAATGATTCTAATACCTTCGTTTGTCCGACGACTAAACGCGTCTCGTGTTAACAACACGTACTAAGTTCACGGACCGTAGGAAATCTGCGTGCACGATCGCTGGTAAGATTTCACGAATAACATCGCGAGCGGCGCTGATAATTTCCCGTGATCATAACCGCGGGAATCATAGTCTGCCGGAAGATTGCTCCGCGAGAGACAGATACGAATGTACCGCGTTACGTGTACCGATTTCCGCGTTATCTCGATCGTAAACAGCTCGAATAATTTCCCGGAGATGCTGCGGCAATTCCTGGATCTGCGGTGTACGTTTCTCGGCGCGAGCGCCGAGTCTCCGGCGGCCCGGTCCGGCCCGGCCCGTTTTCGTTCTGTCGCGCGAAATCAATGGAAAACCGCAAACACAATAATGACATTAATTTCGGCAAACGGCGCGAGTTGAGTAACTCCGGGGGATTATCCTCGCCGCAGACACGTCCGAATTCCGTGTGGTCGACGACAGAAAACAGCGAATCGGTCATCACGGAGAAAGTGTTTCTTATTTTCTTTCGTCCACGGCCGTGCAGCAGCCGCGGCGGCAGATGCTCTTGAGCAAGCCGGTGAAAGTCCTTCAAGGTATTCGGGGAACACCGGCGTAAAATCTGTTTCTGTCGATCGTCTATTAGATAACTGATTTTCTACTCGACCGAAGGAATCGATCCGAGTCGAAGCGGCACCCTTGCTATTCGTTCTTGCGAAACGTTCACACCGATTTCAGGGATCCTTCTAAAGCAACTCTAAAAGCAACCGCACCCATCAGTTGGAACTGTAGGATCGATATATTGGGTTGGCAAGAAGGTAATTTCGGTTTGCATCAACAGATAGCGTCATGCTTGCATTATCATTCTTTTGTTAAGGTTATAATTCTTTTCTCTTCTGCTTTGGTAGTTGACACGATTAGGTTATAGAAACACTATAGAAACAAATTCTGTGCAGTTTTGTTTACAACTGATAGTTTGCAGTCAATTTTAACCACGGAGTGCAAAAATAAACATTTCCGACACATTTTATTTTTTAAAAAAGAAGAAAGAAAGAAAGCGGCCGTGGCTCGCAAAGAGATACGTGAAGTTTATGGCTATTAGTTTGGCAACAAAGTAATTTCGGTTTGCACCAATAGAGAGCGTTATGCTTGCATTGTCATTCTTTTGTTAAGGTTATAATTCTTTTGTCTTCAATTTTGGTAGCCGACACGTTTAGGTTAGTATAGAAACAAATTCCGCGCAGTTTTGTTTACAACTGTTAGTTTGCCGAATAGTTTGCTGATAGTTTGCTAAAATGTTGAAAAATGAACATTTCAGACACATTTTACTTTTTGATTTTAACAAAGGCAAGAAAGCGGCCGAGGCTCGCAATGAGAATACGTTTAATTTATGGCGTCGATTGCTTGACAGAATGCAAGTGTCAGAATTGATTCAAAAAATTCATTATAGTTCCTTAATAAACAAAAATTCATTCAATAATTCACTTAAAGATGACCGACGTTTCGGTCGACCTCTTGAACTTGACGACGACAAAATCAAAGCCACAATTGAATCGAATCGTCACAGAATTGTACCAGAGTTTGCAAAAAGGTTAAATGCACCACAGTCAATTTCTTATATATAAAAAAATGAAGTCTTATTTAACATTAAAATACCGAAATTACTTTCCAACTCAATATCTCTCCATTTCGCTAACAGACACTCATCGGCGCCCGTTCTAGAGCAAGATGGAAATTGGCAGCTGTCCGCGCGAAGTTGAAGGAAGACGGTTTTTATCGCGCTGGTGAGGCCTCGTGTTCGCGTTAAAGACGAACGATCCGGGCGACGTTAGGATCCGGGAGGCGCGGATATCCCTCGAGGCATTCGGCTCGGAAGAAAGCGGTGAAAATCGCAAGTTCGCGTGGAACCCGTTCCGCAGCCTCGGCCGCTTGACTCCGGCCGTAACCTTGTAGAAATTTCAACTCTTTCTCGGCAAGGTCGAGCCCCCCCTGTAATAAACCTCGGCGAGGAAACCGAAGATTTCCCCCGGAGCGTCCAATTATCGGCTGGCTCGGCGTGCCGGTGTGCCGAAGTGAACGCGCGCGAACGTCTCGGAGGCACGCGCTTGTCCGGTAGGGGGGAAGTGAAAGTCCGATATTATCATCACTAGAGCATCGAGCTGTAAGATCGATAACCGGGCGCATTGTTATTACGTTCAACGTCCGGACAGTTCGGGCCCGTTTCTTATGCGTGTCCGTACCGCTTTCAGATCGCCGCGATCCTTCTTCTTGCGATCGGTCCCAGCCAAGCGAGAACTTCCGGCAGAGATTTGTCCAAAGCGAGCGGCTCCCAGCTGGACGCCTTGGTCGCCGAGCCATCTCCACCGGCGACCACAGCGAAAGAAGAGCCGCGGAAGGAAGACGCCGTCGAAGAGCCTGGAAAAGAGAACGTCGGAGGAGAAGACCAGCTGCCTATCTTGCCGCCCATAATCCTTCTGGACTTCGGCAACAACACGGACGAGGAGAACGCGACGTCGGAGGAGAAGTCCAAGCGAACCGTGAACGGCGGTCTCGGCTACGGCCTCGACAAGAACAGCCTGCAGCCGAGGCGGTACAACTACTACTTCCCGGCCGGGAAATCGGGCACCACGGTGAGCATCGAGGAGTCGATCAGCCCGTTCCTGCCGAAAACCATCGTCGAGAAGGTGCAGCCAGCCGGCCAGAAAGGGTACTACCTCGGTAGCCAGCAGAACAGCTTCGCGGCACAGCAGCCGGCCAGCCAGCAAACTCAGAAACAATCTTCCCAGAGTCTTCAATTTTTGAACACGTTGCAGACGATGGGACAGTTCGGTCTGCGGACGAAGCCGCACGCTTCAGCGGCGGGTCTCGGCTCGTACCAAAAGCCGCAGTCGACACCGAAGCCGGCGCTGGCCGGTTCGCTCGGCGTCCAGAATACGGGACACAGAAGCAACGAGATCCCGTCCACCACGCAATCCCCTTTGGCCTTCAGTCCCACAGAGACGGTCAGATATGTGACGCCGAGCCCGGCGAGCTTCGCGAGTCCGCAGGCCGGCTCGTTCCACTACGCGCGACAGGGCGCCCTCGCGGCGAGCTACGCTCAAAGGCAGCAGTCCAATATCAATTCCCAGGGCTTCGGCTCGGCCCCACAAAGCGTCGAGAGCTCGACAATCTCGCCGGTCAGCTATAATCCCCGTTACCAGGGCTCCGGGCAGCAGGCGCAACCGCCCGGTCCCAGGTACTCGCTCGAGAACGGCGTCCGCTACGAGAACAAGGTGTTCTGGAAGTACCCGGACGGCCGGGTGTCGGACGTCCCCCCGGCCACTTACGTGGAGACTTACTCGCGGTACCCGGAACCAGACGGGCAGCCGGCCAGGTCCCAGGCTGCTCATTCGGTCTACGAGGTCAGCTCCACGGAGAACAGCGTCTATTCCCAGGGGCCGGTGCAGTTCCCCGCGGTTTCCGAGCAGGCCGAGCAGGAGCCGAACCAGTTCGTCTCCTCGGAATCGTTGACAGGGAACTCGCCGCAGCAACAAGTGTTCCGTCACGGTTACCAGGCTTTAGCGGGCCAGAGGCAGAACCAGCCGCAGCAGCGGAAACCCGCCGTGGCGACCTCCTACTCGTTCGCCACTTCCGGCAGGCTGCAGTCGCAAGGCCACAAGGTCACCCAAGGCTCGCTCTACCAGCCGGTCACCTCCAGGTACATGGTGAACGGCCCCGACCCGGAGTACACCGCCGACTATACCACCGAGTCCGCCGCGAACATCACCACGCCGAACTTCTTCGCCTCGCTCGGGGAGCAATCTTCTCGGCTGAAGTACACGCACAAGGTTCAAAATTACCTGGACTCGGCGCTGAGCGAATCAGAGGGGTCCAAGAGGCAGAGCCTGCCCAACAACGATTTAAACAGCTACTCGAATCTGCAGTACTCCGACCTGCTGAACTACAACCCCTCCATCTCCGAGTACATCAGGAACCCGTCGTCCATCTTGAACGTCAGGCCGACGTTCGTCCAAGCGGGCAACTCGCTGATCCCGGTGATCATACTGCGAGTGGACGGCGTCTCGCCTATCCAGGCGAAAGCGGGACAGAACATCAATCTGAAGGCTCTGTTGCAGCAGTATCTGATCCAGTACGCGAACAGCATCCAGGATTTGGCTCGGCCTTCTACGTACAACCTTGGGACCGAGTCGATTGCGAACGGCCAGAGCCAAGCTGCCGGCAAAAGCCCGATTCTGGATCTGATCAGACTGACCCAGGAAGACGCACGGAACGCTCCGCCGGTTTACGATCCCAACGATTATGTCGGCAGGTCCAGCTACGAGACCAGCAATCTCGAGTTCGCGAAATCGTACGCGGACGGCCGATACGGCGACCGCGCGCCGCTACGGCAGAAGACGAAGAGCGTCCAGATCGTCGACGACCCGAGGTTCACCAGTTATAAGACGAAGAACTGATGGTGTACTATCGTTGCTCGGAACGCGATCGGTACGACGAGGATGTTATTACTGTTTGGAGATTCACGATTCAAAACGACGACGATTCTGGAAGCGGCGCGTCGATTCTCGTTGCGGGAGATCACGTGTGCCATCGATGCTCGATTCAATGTCACGGTCGTTTGTTAGTATGTTATGTACAGTGGGTGTAGAAAGTATTCAGCTTTTGAAACGTAATAACTTTATTGTAATTGGGCCAGGAGGCCTAAATTTGTTTGGCGATGTTAGAGTGATTAGTTTGCTAGACAAGGGCTGAGAAATTATTTTCAAGGTTAAATGATCGTTCTTCAACCTTTTTATTCGAGGCTATAACGAAACTTATATGCATACAGAAGATTTCATCGAAATCGATCGACGCATAGTCAAGCTGCAACCACTGAAAGATGTAAAAATTATTTGCTTTTGAAAAACTGCGATTTTCGCGATCTTTAATTGTTGTAACTCGCGTCAAGGTCGACCGATTTCGATGAAATTTTCAGGACACATGCAAGTTACCGGGATGTACGAAACGTACTTTTTAAATTTTCGTTATAGGCTCAGATAAAAATGTTAAAAAAAGACATTAATCATTCTTTCATCATGCCAACAAATTGCAATTTTTGAAAATAATTTCTTAGTCCTTGTTTAGTAGACTAATAATGCCACTATCGTCCAAAAAAAATTGAGACCCCCTTGCCCAATTATAAAAGTGTTATTCTGTTTTAAAAAGTCTACGAATACTTTCTACAGCCACTGTACATATTCGTTAGTATTTAATGCGGGTTTTGTGCAATAAATTTTCCAGTAAGACGTGCTGTACCTGGCCGATCGATCGATCGATCGGTTTGCATTCGAGGCTCGCTCGTTGCTACGGTTCTGTACATATTATGGACCAAATTGTTTACTTCAGGAAGGTACCTTATAAGCTTAGTATTTTAGCTTTGTCTTTTTTTAAGAAGACGAACGCCGGCGATATTGTTGTACGCATTCCTATCTGCTCGAATAAAGAAAATATCGTACCTCGTTAAGCGAACCTTTCGATGATATTTTTTTTCCTCGAACTCACGCTGCCTGACAATGGCGTCGTTATCTTTTCCTTTCTTCGCCGGCTGACAGCGAGATCGGGCAGAATTTGCTGGAAACGATTGGTATCTCGCGAACGTTCGAAAGATCTTGCTATCGGGCAATTAGCTGCTCGCCGCGGGAAGAGAATCTGAAAAAAAGGGGGGAAAAATAACCGTTCATTTTCTAATGGAAACTCTTCTTTCGCGTTTCATGGCTCGGCCGAGCTCTGTGCAATGCAAATACAGAAACGCGTGGCTCCGATGCGCGGAACACCTGTTACATTCACCATGGTGTTGTTGGCACCGCTGAAAGTTTTTTTCTTTTTTTTTCGGAAAGGGTGGGAAACCGTTCGTTTCGTTATCGCGATTACGTTTAACTTTCTTTCTGATTGAATTTCGTTAACGTCCGAAATCGGGGATTGTGTTAATTTATTTTACGACGTTGCGTTGTTTCGCATCTACGCGATGGACGGACGTTTAAATTGTAATCTTTATGCTGATACCACCGTGCATGCGATATTCAATTAAAATCTTCTAAGATACAGGAAAATAATATTAGCAATATCCAGATCGCAGATCTTCATGCCTGTTAATTTTATGGAAATCTTCGTTCCTGTTATCGACGGAGAAATTGCTTGTCTCATAAACATTAAATAAATATGTTCGCTTTTATTATCGTATATCTCTTCTTCTGTATCTTTAATATTACCATTAATAAATTATTTATAACGATGGGATCGAGAGAGACGATTGTACTTATTATTATACTTCTAAAATATATATGACAATATTTATAGTATAATTGATAGCTGATACTAAATTTGTAAAAATCATCGCTTTATCGGTACCAAGGTAATTAGGGTTTGCAATAAAAATTTTGTGATTCGATTCGGACTTCGGTCATTTAATTATTCATGCGTATCTGGAGCCATGAATATTTATATGCGTGGGACGATTTACTCGTTCAGATTTATGAATATTCAGCGAAAATATAATAAATCCTCTCTCATGATTTATTTGGATTTTTATTCATAAGATATAATTTCATATATATTTCGGCTTCCAAAGTCGATACGTTTGATACAATTTAATTATACGACTTTTACAATTGGATATTCAATACAACATGCTGGGAGGTTATAATTAATCTTGTAATGCTCCGATCAGATCGAGGCTTCTCCAGCTAATTAAAATCAATTCTTCTTAACATTATTCTTAACATTAATTTTTAACAATTCGTTCTACCCTTAACGATAACGTTAATCGTCAAATGATGATAATTGTATCAAATGGTTTGATAATTTTTATTGTATTGTAATTGAAATTCTGAAGATACTCGCTCTCGAAATCATTAAATCAATTTTTTAATTTTAACGCGTATTAAATAACAAGCTCGCGAATTTTACAAGGCGATGGTTATCGGTTATTTTCGGCGCTCGGCGCAGTTAATTAATAAGTAAAAATAAATGAATAATAAAATAATAAATGCTAATAAAAATAAATAAATGATAAAATAATAAATACTAATAAAAAAGAATAAATGATAAAATAGTAAATAATAAATAAATAAATACTCTCTAATAAAAATAAATAAATAATAAAATAATAAATACTAATAAAAGTGAATAAATGATAAAATAATAAATAATAATAAAAATAAATGAATAGAAATAAAAATAAATAGATAATAATAAAAATAAATAAATTAAATTAGATAAAAGAATAGCACTGTAAGGGATTGACAACGAGGCTCGCCCAGCGAGCCGACCAAAAAAATATTCGAAAATCCAAACAGCGAGGACGATATTTGTTATGCAACGGTCCCACCGTAAAAGGCTGAGATCTCACAGTCAAAGGGAGCGGTCGAAGTAAGAAGATTAAGTGGCCGCGACACGTTCGCGAGGCTGCGGGCAATTAGCGTTAATTGTTTGGTTAGACGGAGACGAGCAAACAACGGGCGATGGTCGTAGGGCGCAGTTAATTCCACGTTTTCACAAGGAGAGGCGGCGATGATATCTCCGCATATCTCTGCGAACCGCACGGCAATTAGACAGAAAGCATTAAACTGTGGCGATTGCCAAGTCCGAGCCGGCTCTTACACGGCCGAGTATAGTCGCGCGGCATACCGACAGCCGGCCGTCGTTTCTATCTCGCGAGGCTGGTTGCATCGGGAGGAGCGAGCGCGGTGTGCATAATGCGTGCGTTTTAGAGCGCATAAAATGCCTAACGGAAAACTACTGACCGCACAGGTGAATCGTTCTATAGTATGCGCCGTGCTATACCAACATGCCTACCCTAATCATCGATAACTATGTATATTCCGCGCCGATAACTTTGTTCCAAGCCGTTCGCCGTTTCTCGCTTTGCGAAGAAAAGCGCGACCCGAACTTTCAAGATCGCGGCGACAGACACGCGACACGTGTCGTTAGCACGAAAATTGCACTTAATTACATCGACACGTCGTTCCGGTTACATACCGAAAAGATTAATTTTCCCTTCGCGAGCAAATTCGCCGACGGTAATGACCGAGGATCGCATCCTGCGGCTTCCAGCGCGCGGCCAACAATTTCCCAGCCATGGTCGCGTGTCGCGAATGAAAGTATCCTCCCGTTCGCGGGACTGTAGGATAATATTTAGAACGATATTTTTCACTTGACCACCGGAGTGTATAAAGAAAATCGCGTGTCTACTATGTGGCTCAGTTCTCGCGCGGAGGTTCGCCTCACAGGATCCCACGGATCGCAGAAGCTCGGGAAACGAAGCCGCCGGAGCCGCAATCAATGTGTTCTACGCGAAACCACGTACCGACGATCGGCCCTTCCTGATTCTGTGTGACATTCCGTGCCCGAGGGAAACACAGGCCGCTCCGTTCCACAAAATGTTGTTCCATCTCGTAAGTAGACGCGGCGGCGGCGCGAATTTTGCTGCGTAGCCGGTGAATTTTGCCGCATAGCCGATGAACTTTGCCGCATCGACGGTGAACTTTGCCGCATCAACGGCGAACTTTGCCGCATCGCCGGCGAACTTTGCCGCATTACCGGTGAACTTTGCCGCGACGGCTGCGAACTTTGCCGCGTAATCGGCGAATTTTGCTGTATCGCCGGCGAACTTTGCCGCATCTCCGGTGAACTTTGCCGCATCGCCGGCGAACTTCGCCGCATAACCGGCGAATTTCGGGTGTGAGCTGCCCGATGGATTTTGATTCGTCGCGACCGCGACACGATAGACCGTCCGTTTTAACCGTAGAATTCGGAACCGAAAATTTGTGAACAAGTTCGAACAGTGTTTTCTGTTTTTTAGGTTCGAAAATAGTCGGCCATTGGTACGCGGGATATCGCTGGGATCGGATTAGAATCATTCGAAATTGGTTCTCGGAGTGCATCGATGCGGGTGCGCGCGCGCGCGCACGTAACTGGGGCACACTTTCTTTCTTAATATTTCGACATCGGTGTTTTCCCCAATTTAACCGAGCGGCCGCGATGGCCAATTAACAGAGAGGCTACTCTGTACTTTCCTCGTGCGCTCGCCGGCGAATGAAATCTTCCGTGTCGGACTATTTTGATTTCGTCGAAAGTAGATTGAAATTCATCGGTCGAGGATCTCTCGCGCCTTGGTTCCACGGCACAGTCACAGCTATTAACCATGATTATTTCTTCTTATATACCCAATTATCTGTGGAGCCACACGAAGCACGCCGTGCTCGAGATTTCTCCCGAACCCCATCGACAATGGCGAACGCGTGACGGGAATTCAACCGTGGCTCTCCGGCGGATCGAAAAGACACCGTATCAAGCTCGATCCTCCTTTCTTTTCTCGTTGCTTAGATCTTTCTGCTGTCTGTCGTTGCTTCACATTTACGTTATTTTATCTTTGCGATGCTTCGGGGCGTCGCGAACAAAAGGATTACAGTAATGTCTCCCTAATTGACGCTCGGATTCTACACAAAAGTGAACATTTGGGGAAGAGGAGACACGATTGATCGAGTCTCGCGGCTCTTTTTTATAGTAGCAGATTGTCAACAATTATAAAAACGAGGCGCAAAACTCGAACAATCGTGCCTCTTTCTCCCGAGTTGTCCATTTTCCTTTCCAAGCTAAGCGTCAATTAGAGAGACATTACTGTAGTTAGCGAATCTTCGTTGAAGAACCGCGAACGGCGCAGCTGTCGATTAATTTTCGAACGCGAGCCTCGGCTCGCAATCGTTCTATTCGGCAGTTTTATACAGTTTTGTTGGCAGATCTCGTCGCTAGATCGTTCGATCAGTTACACAAGACTGTCAAATCCGAATCGAGGCGAGATTCCAACTCGAATCGGTGAGAAAGTACTGGTGGATCTGCTTCCGTGCACATTCAGTCCTTGGCCGTTGTAGTGCACACGCACGCCGCCTCGCATTTTACTTTTCTATTCTGCTTTTCTTTTCTAGGTCAGCCCCTTGACTGCCACTTATTTTCGCCGATGAATCCGTTTAGCTGTGGCATTACCTTAAGTTCCCAATAATCGGCGCGCTTTCTTCTCGCGTGGCTTTCTTCCGATCCGTGCTCTCGCACCCCACCGTTCGCCGCCCGGTGTCCTTCGCGATGGATCCCTAAATTTCGAGATCGTCCTGGTGTTAGGACAGAAGTAGTTAGTATAAAAAGGTTCCGAATGAATGGTTCTGGATAAAAGGTTCTGAATATTAGAGCGGTAAGTTTATTGCCTAAAATTGCAGTGTCTGTTCGGTGTTTTTGTTTTCTTTGCACAACGATGCACTTGGTCGAAGTGAAATTGAAACGAACGGATATTTTGTACCTTTCGTTTTGAATTTCAGTTTTTAAATAGGTAAATTATAGGTATAATCGTATTCAGGAATTTGGTAATACGGATAATTGATTAGGAGAGGGTGCAAGCAGATCGATTAAGGAACCAGAAAACGTTAAGAGACAAAGCTCTCGAGTCACAGTTTCAGTTTCCACGATGACGTTTAACTCTTTGCAGTCGAAGCTACTTGAATTCGAAATCCAAAACACATTTTCTGATCGACGATATTTCTATTTTATACAATTTATTGCGATTCGTGCATGTGAAATTGAGCCTATTGACAAGTACAATGCAATTTTAACAGTTTTTTTTTTTATATGTAAAGGAATCTGATGCTCTTACAATGATTTTGAAAAATAGTATACCAATTTCTAGTGGTGCGTCAGAGTCGCCACTCGAGTGTAAAGTTCGCTTCGCAAGTCGAAAGTTAGTATCAACGGTAGACCTGATAATTAGAGCGAAGTTTCAGCTGTGATTTATTAGGTCGGTGCGTATGAAATGTCGGATTCTTAAGCGAATGCATAAAACTGCGTATCTTTTTTCAAGAGCTGTTTATTTAATCAAAATACGCTCCGTTTGCCTCGATACAATTTTTACCTCGATACCAACGAGATTTTAACGCACAGATGCCTGTCTTAAAGAAATTCTGATTTTAAAAATCAATAAACTCCGATATGGAATTTTTCACACTGTTTTCATTTTCAAAAATGAAACGAATATCGGTTGAATTTATATCGTTGCGAAATTCAAAAGGAATAACAAAATAGAACACTTTTGAGAAAATCTTCTTTATTGAAACGCGACTCTGGCAATGAACGACTATAAACGAGATCATGCCAAAAACAAAAGTGTACTGTATCGTTTTTCCGCATTAAAAGGGTTAATTCTTTGCAGTCGAGTGGCGACTCTCGCCACTAAAAATTGTTCTGTCACGTTTGAAAATAACGTTAATCAAATTTTGTTTACATTTATGAAACTCTTAATAGCGTAATTGTCGCACGAATTACAAAATTCTATTTCATATAAAATAGGAACACTATAGGTTAAAAAAACTATTTTGGATTTCGAGTTCAAATGGCTCCGACTGCAAAGGGATAAACTATCTTCTTCCCGACGCTCTTCGTTTTGCAAATTGAAACCATTGCAAATCAGTATCAACCTCGGCCTTGATAATTAGAGCGAAGTTTTAGTCGCGACTCGTCACCAAATAAACAATTAAGGCATCGCTCGTGAAAAATCGGCCCTGAAGTTTTTACTGTGCTTACGACAGACCGTTCGGAAGATCGTCGCTCGCGAGAATATTATTTAGCCGATAGCCTTGAGCATCTGTAAACCTTCATAACCAATAAAACGCGTAGATTGCTCAGGAACGGCGGTCGAAGTTCCGCGTCGGCCATCCCGACGCGGTGCCGGTAAAATGGCCGCGACAATGGCGGCCCTATTCACTCTTTCGCCGAGCCGACCTGTCGACCTGCAGCTCTCTGTCTAATGATTTGATATTCGGTGCAGGTTGTTCTGTTATCGTTGAGCTGGCCGCACATGATAGAGACGAAGTTTTAGCCATAAATCATCACCGAATGAACAATTAGAGCGTCCCTCGTGAAAAAGTTTCAGCGTCCCTCGGCCCTAAAGTTTCTCCACGCGTTAGCACAGACCGTTCAGAAGACAGTCCCTCGTGAGAATAATATTTAGCCGATGGCCTCGAGCATCTGTAAACCTTACTTCCCAATAAAACGCTTAGAGTGCTCAGGAACGGCGGTCGAAGTTCCGCGTCGGCCCTCTCGACGCGGCGCCGATAAAATGGCCGCGACAATGGCGGCCCTATTCACTCTTTCGTCGAGCCGACTCGTCGACCTGCAGCTCTCTGTCTAATCATTTGATATTCGGTGCAGGTTGTTCTGTTATCGTTGAGCTGGCCGCACGCGCTAGGGACGAGCGAGGATGTGGCTGCGCTGGATCAGATCGCGACCGCGTCGGAGAACGTAGTCAAAGCGGAGAAGCTCGAGCGAGGACGCGAGGAGAAGTTCCACGATCAGCTGATCGAATCTGCGATAGACACAACGATGCATTACGAAAATTCGAACGGATTCGTGCCGATAGTAGGCACGTCCACCACGAAGACGACCGACCTGATCGATCAGCCGGAGCCGGCGAGCAACGTCTCCTGGACGAACTCTTTATCCGAGCCGGGGAACTTCACCGCGGAGGACAGGGAGACGCTCAGCGAGGTCAGCGACGAGGAGACGTTGGACCCGGAGGATCCGGGGGACCTAGAAGACCCAGAGGACCCAGAAGACACCGAAGGAATCGAGAACGACCCAGCCTACTCAACGGAGGCCAGGATATTCCTGAGCTTCCCTCGCCTAAGCGCGAACAACCGCAGGTCTTTCGAGTACAGCGGCGGCGGGCAGAACGATTTCGAGTTGCTGAAGGTCCGCAACGACACTCCGGTGGTCGCGAATTACCCTGACTTCTACGAGGATCCCGTCTCCGCCGAGTCCGTGGACGACGCTCGCACCTCTTCGCGGCAGAAGAACAAAGCGAGAGGCCACAAGCTCGACGATTACATGGGCAACTACGGCTCGGCTTCGAGCGGGAACGTTGAGGAGTCCGCTTACAATCATCGTTATCCTCCTCGGGAGAAGGAAAAGTCGAGCCAGGAGAAAGTCCCGGGCAATTATCATCAGCAAGAGGCCATCAGCTACGACGGTCACGGGCAGAGCGCCACCAGACAGAACGGACAGGCATCGACTTCGTCGTCGTCGTCCTTGCCGAGGACGGGCCAGGAGGTGAACAACCCTCTGAAGAGCTACAACGGCGTCTACGACAACGTGGCAGCTACTTCGCAAACCAGCAACAACAACCAAAGACTCACCAGCCCGGTCGTCGTCGCGGAGTACAGCTTCGAGCGGTCCAGAATGCCCGACTCTGGCCTCGAAGACTACCAGACCTCAAGGTTCATCGACTCGGCCAGCTCCGAGGTGTCCCAGCATTACACCATCAACGACAGGGACGGCAGATTCCGGAGCGACGAGGACTCCAGGGACGTGTCCGAAGACGGGGACTACGCGGACTACACGGAGCGGCCCAGAAGAGTTCAGAAGAGCCGGAGACGGCCTTCGGACGCCGCGAAGAGGCTCCCCAAGGAGCACCGGGGCACGATGGACGACAGCATGGAGTACGAGCATCAGGGAAAGCGACATCATTCCTCGAGGACGAAGTCCTCCCACCGGCAGAGATTGCGAGGGAATTCTTGGTCGGACGAGGACAGACGCAACCGCGACCAGGAGGACAGCTACGAGGAGACGAGGTACGACGGCAGACTTGCGGAGACCAGACACAGCCACAAGTCTCAGCAGGGTGGCAAGTTCAAGCCCAGCAGCAGCTGGAACCAGATCTCGCCGAACCTTGAGATCTCGCACTCGAGCGGCGTCGAGATCGGCCAGCTGGAGAAGCCGAAGTTCATCGTCCCGGTCAAGGTGAACCTGGTGCCTCTGGGTAACTTCGACCATGCGACCGCCTTGGGGAACAGCCAGGGCTTCGACATGTCGAACGCGGTCCTGCAGAACATCGTCTCGGCGACGCCGGTGAACTCCATCAGCACGCCGGCCTCTGTCGTGAGCACGCCTCAGATGGACGACGGCGCTAAATACAGGATGTCGACGCCGGTGCCGGACATCGTGGTCGGCCAGAGCAGCTTCCAGAGCCCGATGCAGGCGGTGCTGAACGACCAGGACAAGTACTCGTCGAACCTGAAGCAGCAGTACGTGTCGAGCACGGTCGCGCCGGTGTTCGCGGTGACGCCGGGCACGAGCTTGCAGAGCATCCCGATCCAGGACGTGCAGGCGACGGTCTCGCCGAGGCCGGGCTACGTGAACCAGATGCAACAGGTGCAGCCGACCAGCCAGGTGCCGCAGCTGATAGTCCCGCAGCCGGCTCTTCAGACGGTGCCGACGTTGGTGCAGACCTCGGTGCACGCGCCGCCGGACTTCAACATCCAGGTGAACCCGCACGGCATGCACGGGCAGAACGTGTTCGGCCACGGGAACATGCAGGTACAGACGATCCCGACAATGCCCACCGTGACACCCGCCACGCCTCAGACAGTCCCGGTCGCGAAGATTAACTTGGTGACCGCCGATCCCCAGAACAAGAAGCCCGTCTATCCGGGCACCACCGCGAACTTCTTGGCGACCGCTAGCCTGTCGTTCGGCCATAGCGAGCCGCGTCAGCCTGTAAACGGTGACCCTTACTATTTGCAGAACGGCCAACAGATCGCGAAGCCGCAGACCAGCCTCTATCAGCAGCTGCTGAAGAACGTGAACATCGCGCCGAAGACGAAGACGTACATCCAGACGACGCATCATCTGTTGCCGGCGATGCTGCAGCCGGTGCCCACGGTCACCACGATAACAGCGAACCAGCAGGCTCTTCAAGGTGCCAACTACATGATACAGCAGTCCCGGGAACAGCCGCAGCAGCAACAACAGTTCGTCAACAACAACAACGGCGCGTCGACGCTGCGCAAGCTGCCCTCGTTCTCCTATCAAATGATCGACAACCTCGCCAGCCAGAGTATCAACAACGCTAACACGGTGAACGCGTTGTCGCCAGGAGGTGGTCCAGGTGCCGCGGAGAACGCCCAGCTGCCCTACGTGGGCACCAGGAACGTCGAGATCCTGAATCCGAACATCAAACCGAGCCCGCTCGACGCCGCCATCATAAACACCTACGAGGCGATGCACTATCCCGCCGCGGTCTTCACCACGCCCTTCCCCATGTTCACCACGACCAGCGTGGTCACTTCGAGGCCGGCGCTTTTGTCCAGCACCACGGACAACGCGGTGACCGAAGCAACGAACATGAAGAACTACATGAGCGACTCGAAAGGCTACCAGTTGCAGGAGCGGCCGATGTTCAATCCGATCAACTTCGTGCCGAACATGGACCTCGTGAAGAACCAGAACGCGTTGAACAGCAAGCTCCACGCCAGCGAACCGCTGCAGCAGAACCTGAATTTGGTTCCGTTGATACCCGGCGGGAACTTCTTCAAGCCGTCGGTGAACGGGCAGAGCGACCTGTACGCCAAGCCGAAGCTGAACTCCGACCTGGAGACCTACGCCGAGCAGATGTTCAAGGAGTCCCTGAAGACTATCTACAATTCGCAGAAGTGGAACAACGACAGAAAGCCGGGCGGCCATCGGCAGAACGCGACCGAGTCGGACATCGCGAAGCTGAAGCACGAGCTGCAGAGATTGAAGGCCTCGTTGTCGGAGTCGAAGCGGAACAAGGATCACGAGGCGCATCACAGCGAAACCAAGCTGCAGACGGCCGAGTACCCGAGCAAGAAGCCCGACGCCGAGCTGCTGGCTGCCTTGGAGCAGATGCTGAAGAACCAGCCGAGCGACTCGTTGCACGGCTACCACGGCCGGCCGCACAGGCATCGCAGGCCCGGCGACTCCGACAAGTTCCCGTTCGGGCCCCACAGCGACTTCCGGGACAACAAGCACGTCAGGGACTTCATGGGGCCCCCGCACTCGGGCTCCCGTGGAAAAGGGCATTATCACGATAAACCGGGCAAGAAGAGGCCCAATTCCGGGCCGTCGAGGTACAACGGCCATTTCCACGGGCCCAGGAGCCACTCGAGACACAATTTATCTCCGAAATCGGGCGGTCTAGAGACCTCCGCGAGCAACCTCGAGCCGGGCTTCCTCGAGAAGCCTCAGTTCGAGAGCTTCTACGAGCACTCGGAGCCGAGGAAACCGCCCTTCGACTCGTACTCGCCGTTCGCCGGCTCGCCGCCGGAGAGAAACGTCTTCTCGAACGGCCAGAAAGCCGGCAAGGATCGCGGCATCAATCATCCGAAGATGCACAATTTTCTCGGGCTGTTGATGAAGAACAAACAGCTGCCGGTCAGCGGCGGCAATCAGAATTATTTTCGGGACAAGGACCAGCTGACGCAGTTCTACGAGGACGAGAAGCTACGCTCGCAGCAGCTGTACGTCGACGCCATGAGAGACTACATGTACAAGCTGTCCGAGAACAATGCGTACGCCAATGGGGCCCACGGCGGGCCCAATAATGCTAGAAGATCGTTGATCAACAAAGGGAAGGTCTGAGACGCGACGATGAATGAAATCGGCGATCGTTGTTCTTGTGTAATCGTATTCGGTTGGTGAGATAGTGATTTTGGTTTTGTAGCGTCGAATGAAAATCGTTTTTTGTTTTTGTATGGAAAGAATAAACTTTGGTCGAGCGTATGTTCTTCGTTTTGTTCGATGACCTTCCGCCATCTTTTAAGCTGCGCGATTTCGCGGTCGGAAGAATCTTGATCCTTATCGGCAAAAGACTTTTTATGGTTGATTATTTTGACTTGATTATTTTACCGTTCGAAGAGTTTTGTGAATTTTTGAATAAATTGTTGTTTTGTTAATGATGCCAAAAGTCAGGGTTATATTGAGTTAATTATGAGGGATGCAACGTCGCTTCAATAATATTACCAAGCTCGAATAATATTAATAAAGTACTAAAGAATCGCTGAAAATGTGTAACTGAAATGACGATGATCTTGAATCGCACTTGCTTCAGTTTCTTTTTGCTGATAAGGATCAACATTTTCTACGAGCGCGGGATCGCGAAGCTGCTTCAAAGATGGCGGAAAGGTCGTCGAACGAAATGAGAAGAGAATGTATAATAATTGACTAATATTTATTCTTTGTGTAAAAAAGAGAAAGGAAAAAATGAGTTTTACTTCACAGTACAAAACTGGAATTACTTTTTTGCCGAACGAATATGTTTATTCACGCTTGGCGATGCATTCTATCGAGTAAACGGGAGTTTTAGAGAATCAAACGAACGGCACATTTGTTTTTTGTATATTGAAAATAATAGTTCCGCGAAGAGTTCGCGGATGCATCGTTTAGTTAAAATTTATCGTCTAGGTTAATAAGGAATAGATAATAAGCGTGTTGTACTTTATTCGATTGCGATTGTCGATTCGCCTTGCGTTCAATTTCAGGCTAATTAATTTCAGTTCAATTAGAGGCTTGCTTATGGACGGACTGCAGATCTTACGACGACTGAGAAAAAATTTATAGATTGATAGATTGATAGATTGATTGATTGATAAATTGATAGATTGATAGATTGATAGATCGATAAATCGATAGATTGATGAATTGATAGAGAGAGATTGATAGATTGTTAGATTGATGAATTGACAGATTGATAAAAAATTGATGAATTGATAGATTAATAAAAATTGATAGATTGATGGATTAATAGATCGATAGATTGATAAATTGATAAATTGATAAATTGATAGATTGTTAGATTGATAAATTGACAGATTGATAAAAATTGATGAATTGATAGATCGATACAAAAATTATATATTGATAGATTGATAAATTGATAAACAATTAAAGATCGATCTATTTTCCAATCAGAGTAATGAATCTGGAACGATAGAACAGTTTTTTATGTTTCACCGTTTTGGTTCGGAACGCGTAAAATCCGCAGTCTATTAATAGATTTTTCCGTCGCGTTGTGAGTTGCTGGCTATTCGAAGACCAACTGGGCCGTGGCCGAAGGAGAAAGCCTTAATTGTTTAATCTCGAGAGGAGTTCTCGATTGTACATATTAATTGTAAACCAGCAAACAGACATCCTCCTCGGTCCGGCGACTCGTTCGCGAGGCCGTTTTTTCTTCGACGCTCGAGCGAATCTTTCTCGCGAAGGGAAATTACTGCTTCGCTGTAACTGCGTATATAACAATAATAATAATAGTAGTAATAATAATAATAATAATAGTAATAATAATAATATTAATAATAATAGTAATAATAATAATAATAACAATAATAATAATAATGCCGTGTGTTGCCTTTTATGCGATACTTTCGCTGAAAAAGTAACGACATAAAATTCGTATAATTACGGTGTCCCCGGAATTTTTCACCGGTAGGCGTCTCCTACCAGCGAGAAATCACACTAATTATTCATTACATACTCTCACCTTTCTAACGTTTTTTTTCTTTAACGAGTGTTTACCGACGAACGATCGCTGTCATCGTACCTTATACCTGCCTCTGTATGTGTGTGTGTGTGCGTGCGTGCGTGCGCGCGTGTGTGTCTGTACACGTGTAAAGAAAACAGAGAGAGAGCAATAAATTGTATACGTTACCGTTTGCAAATGCCGTTTGTAAATATAAACCGTTCGCGGTGAAAGCGTTTCGCGGGACGAAGTCGACGCAGCACCGACCTCTACCGTTGTTTTCACTTTGCTTTACAGGGTGCGCAGGAAAGTGTGAAGATCCTCGCTTCTTTCTCCCTGGAACAGAAGAGGTGCACGCGGTCGCAGCTTGCGAAAAAAGTCGCCGGATTTCCAGCATACAGTAATGTCTCTCTAATTGACGTCTAGATGGTCCACGGAAATGGACAATTTTGGAAGAGGAGATGCGATTGTTCGAGCTTTGCTTTGTTTGTTTTTATAGTTACGAATTGTCAACGATTATAAAAACGAGCTGCTCGAATAATCGTGCCTCCTCTTCCCAGATTGTCCATTTCTCTCTAGAATCTGAGCGGCAGTAAGGGAGACATAACTGTACTACGAAAGCAATTTACACATGCTCAAATTGTTGTGTAAAGTTGTAAACACGCTGTCTTCTGATATCTTTAAGGGGTCAGCTATCTCGCGCGATTTCACTATACGGTCTTTCAAAACTATTTCGTGGACTTTTTTTATGTTTTTCGGAACAACTGCCGATTTTCGGCGACCAGAGCACCGGTTCAGCATCATCGGTTTTCGTACGACCGCGTTTAATTTTCGCATACCAGTCGATAATAGTTGATTTCCCTGGTGCAGAGTCTTCGTAACGCTTATCAAGCCACTGTTTAGCTTCAACAGTATTTTTCCCCATCGAAAAAAACAATGTTTAATCAATATACGAAATTCTTTTCTAACCATTGTTTTAAAATTACAAAACTGGGGTCACTAGAACCACTTGTAACCTGTAAATTAATCATCAAAATGTCATAAAATTTTCACGTGTATCGTTCGAAGAATGCTACTATTCAGAAATCATATAGCTTTGTCAACAGTGTTGCCATATCGTCTCTCTAATTGACGCTTAGATTGTCCACGGAAATGGACAATTTTGGTAGAGGTGATGCGATTATTCGAGGCTTGCGTACTCCTTTTATAGTTGTTGATAATTCGTAACTGTAAAACGAAGCGCAAGGCTGAATTTAATCGTATCGCCTCTTCCCAAATTGTCCATTTTTCTGCATAATCTGAGCGTCAGTTAGGGAGACATTACTGTAATTAGCCGCTTCGCGGCCAAGGCGTAACACGAGAGATCTAAAAAAGAAGAAAGGCGGCGATCGACGCGTTACGTCGACGTTCGTTCATTCGATCAGAACAGGGTGCCGACGACGTCTCACCCCTAGAACCGTTGATTACCTTCTCCTAGACACGAGCGTTAATGTCAAAGACGCGAACGCGTGTAATAAACGTTCGAGCGGAGCATCGATTTGCTTTAGCAGCCGACGACGCCGTTTTACGTCATCGGTACGAAACGAATTATACGCGAGTTCGTGAACGGTTTCTTCGTAGAATCGAGCATCGAATTAGGCGGCGGCTGATCTTGACGATGATCGTGATCTTGACGAAGATGCGGTGTTCGTGAAAATAAGGGAGACGCGCTTGGGGAAAACTGTTTGTTTTATACAGGGTGTCCCAAAAATGTCTCGCAATCCGGAAATGGCGGGTTCCTCGGATCATTTGAAGCAACTTCTTTCTTTACAAAAATGTTCTCCGAGGCACCGTTAACGAGTTATTAACGAAAAACAGTGACCAATAAGAATCGAGTACGGCTGGCGCGTGGCGGCCCGGCCAACTAGCGCACGAAGCCTGGTTCCGCTCATTGGCCCGGTCGCCTCGCGCTAGCCGAGCTCGCCTCTCATTGGTCACTGTTTCTCGTTAATAACTCGTTAACGGTTCCTCGGGGAAAATTTTTGTGAAGGAAAAAGTTGCTTCAAATGACCTGAGGAACCCGCCACTTTCGGATTGCGAGACATTTTTGGGACACCCTGTATATTGTTTTGTGTGGTCCGTAAATATCTAGCGTGAAAATCTGAAAGAAAATTGGAGAGAATTTACTGTACCGCCTCCAACAAAATTAGGTCCATTGTGTTTTCACTTCTGTGTCACTTTTATTCCCGATTACAAAGTGATCGCAATCCTATTAGAATCTCGCTCGAAACGGGTTCGCATCATCCCGATCGATTATTTCCCATAATTCAAAGTCTCGTCCGTCCTATATCCCAGTCTACCGTCACGGCGAACCATGAACAATTTGATTCGTAACGGATCAAACGCATCGCGGCTCTATCGCGAGCCGTAGAGCCGGAACTTTCTCCAGAAATGGATGCCGAGAGCAATTAGAAATAAATTTTTTTTACGACCGCTGGGAATAATAAGTCCCCGTCATTTTCCAGGAGGCAGCGGCCAATGAATATTTGCCGGGTAATTGTACTTCCGCCATTATGATCGGTCTAGCGTATTTTCAGCCGTGTTCTCTTTTAATTGTGATTATTATGATAATTACAGCTGGACTAGCGCGCGCGCGCGCGCGTGTGTGTGTGTACGTGAGCATGTGCGCGTTGCAGCCGAATCGAATAAATATGAAATTTGTTTCTCTAACGCAGAACGTGCGCCAACAATTAAAATAAATATCTGAAGACGAATAATTACGAGAGGTACGTATTGATTAATATCTATAATTACATGCTATGTGGAATTAAAATTGTCAATGAATGGGTGAAGATTATGTCAAGGATCTTGGTTGCAATAAAATGAAATATAATACAAAAATAATAAAAATAAAAAATAAAATATAATAAAATATAATAAAAATAAAATAGAAAATGTAAAATAGATATAATAAAGTGTTCGCATCATTTATTCATGATAATATCGATCTCACGTGAATATTGAAAGTAAAAGCGGCGAGTATAAGAAAGCATACTTAAACAATCTATGTATAATGCACTACTACAGATCGCTTCAAAGTGCGCGGAACAGCTTTTTTTGTTATTTAGAAAAAAGATGACGTCGACTATGGCTCGGTCGCTCTCTCTCTTTCTCTCTCTTTTGCTAGCTCGGTCGCTCTCTCTCTCTCTCTCTGCCCACTTAAGTCACTTTTAGACTCAAAGCACTTTATCGAAATGTAATATTGCTACAATGATACGTAATTGGTTCATTAACATCGCCAAAAATTTCTGAGACACAGGACGATTCATAATTGATTAATCAAACGAGTCAAAGTCATTCGAATACTTATATTACACACACACACACACACACACACACACACACACACACACACACACACACACACACACAAATTCGCTGTTCCTTCATATTCTTTTAATTACATAGATAACATTTTACACTAAATCGAAGATTTCTTGCATTTTGACATTCACATACTCTACTTCAATGCACCGTAAAGTATATTCTCCCTTCGATGTATATTTATTTAAATATAAATATTACAGAAGTCGAAGTTATGCCAGCGTTCGAATACTTTCGTCGCCCACGGTACATTTTATTTCCGTCGATCGAGAAATTGCCGTATCGCCGTATCGACAGTTTCACGAACCCGAACTCGTCGAGATTTCAATAATCGTCGATTAACAGTAGCACCGTATCAACTTTTGTCCACCCTGTACATGAACAAGCGGGGAAGGTCGTTGACACGGCGTCAGCGTTTGAGCGTCGCCGAGCATTCGAGAGCCGCGCGGGTATACGGTGCGGCTTTTCTCGACACGCTTTTTGTCAATCGTAGAAAAGCCAAACCCATTCGGCTGTCTCGCATCGCTAATCGCCGAATATAAAAGATCACGGAGTACTCGGTCGCAGCCAGTTAAGAAGAAACTTTAGCGGTCGTCTGTGCTCGTTAATCCGCTGCCATGCTGGTACGTTTCGTCGCGGTCCTCTCTCGAGAGAGCGATCATTCCAAAAATTAACGCGTCACTCAATAAGTCTTCGGTCTAGCTAAAAGAAACAAATTTTCTTTTTTTAGAAATTCCACTTTATTCGTCAACGTACTCTTCTACAAGAGCGATACGTTCGTTCCAACTCTCGAGAACGGTTTGTCTTTGTTCTCAAAATAGGGCTCCGTTTCGGCGATCGCTTCAGCATCCAAGCCAAATTTCTTTCCCTGGAGCATCTTTTTAACGTCTGCAAAAAGCCAGTAGTCGTCTGGGGGTTAGATCTGGAGAGTACGGTGGCTGGGGAAGCAATTCGAAGCGTGATCCGTTCGATTTAACCATCGCTTAAACGCGCTCCGAAACATCGACGCGCTGTTGTTTTTGATCCGGTGTGAGCAAACGCGGTACCTGCAGCAATGTCTCCCTTACTGACGCTCAGATTGTCTCCACTAAATTGGCATATCATTTGAGAAGAGGAGATACGATTATTCGAGACTTGCGGTTTATTTTTATAGTTACGAATTATTCACAATTATAAAAACGAGCCGCAAGGCTCGAATAATCGTGTCTCCTCTTCCCAGATTGTCCATTTCTCTCCAGAATCTGAGCGACAGTAAGGGAGACATAACTGTACTTCGAAAGCAATTTACACATGCTCAAATTGTTGTGTAAAATCGTAAACACGCTGTCTTCTGATATCTTTAAGGGGTCAGCTATCTCGCGCGATTTCACTATACGGTCTTTCAAAACTATTTCGTGGACTTTTTTTATGTTTTTCGGAACAACTGCCGATTTTCGGCGACCAGAGCACCGGTTCAGCATCATCGGTTTTCGTACGACCGCGTTTAATTTTCGCATACCAGTCGATAATAGTTGATTTCCCTGGTGCAGAGTCTTCGTAACGCTTATCAAGCCACTGTTTAGCTTCAACAGTATTTTTCCCCATCGAAAAACAATGTTTAATCAATATACGAAATTCTTTTCTAACCATTGTTCTAAAAATTACAAAACTGGGATCACTAAAACCACTTATAACCTGTAAACTAATCATCAAAATGTCATAAAATTTTCACATGTATCGTTCGGAGAATGCTACTATCCAGAAATCATATAGCTTTGTCAACAGTGTTGCCATATCGTCTCTCTAATTGACGCTCGGATTGTCCAGAAAAATGGACAATTTTGGAACCGGAGATGCGATTATTCGAGCCTTGCGACTCCCTTTATAGTTGTTGATAATTCGTAACTGTAAAACGAGGCGCAAGGCTCAATTCAATCGTGTCTC